GACCCCCTCTCCCACAAGCTTCACATCTGTATGGAATATATGGATGGGAACTTATATCAGTTGATGAAGGCCCGTGACCACAAATACTTTGAAGGCAAGCACGTCAAGAGTATTCTTTACCAGATCCTGTCCGGTCTGGATCACATCCACGCCCACCACTTCTTCCACCGCGATATTAAGCCCGAAAACATTCTCGTATCGACATCCGCCCCCAATGATTCCGCTTTTAGCCGTTACTCTAACCTTGTCACTCCTCCTTCTACCCCTCCTGTCTACACCGTGAAGATCGCCGACTTTGGTCTTGCTCGTGAGACCCACTCCAAACAACCATACACCACATATGTCTCTACTCGCTGGTATCGCGCACCTGAAGTGCTTCTACGAGCAGGAGAATATTCGGCACCAGTCGATATGTGGGCCATGGGTGCCATGGCAGTTGAGATTGCCACGCTAAAGCCCTTGTTCCCAGGAGGCAACGAGGTCGATCAAGTTTGGCGTGTGTGTGAGATTATGGGTAGCCCAGGGAACTGGTACAGCAAGTCGGGCGCTAAAATTGGTGGTGGTGAATGGCGCGAAGGATCGCGCCTGGCTCACAAGCTCGGTTTCACGTTCCCCAAGATGGCACCGCATGCAATGGAATCCGTGCTTCAGCCCCCGATGTGGCCCGCGGCGTTTAGCGAGTTTGTCACATGGTGTCTCATGTGGGACCCTAAGAACCGCCCAACGTCTACCCAGGCGCTTAACCATGAGTACTTTGCCGATGCGGTTGATCCGGTGCGGCCCAAGTCCTCTACCTCGTCAAGACTGCTTGGCCGCAAGCAGTCCGAGAAGAGCTTCAGGTCACCAATTCTTACTCCTGGTGACTCTCCTACCTTGTCTTCTAAGCCTTCGTGGTTCCGAAGATCATTGGTCGTTCGGTCAGACAGCCCTGTACCTACTGCAGATGACAGCCCTGCCCGGCCACCAGTTGTTTCTCAAGTCACTGTTCCTGAGATTCAGCCTGTTAAGCCCCGCCCCGCGAATGCCAAGCGGGCTACCTGGGCAAGCGGTGCGCCGATGCCAATCCTTCCTTCTATCCGCCCTGTCTCCCCTCTCTCCAACTCCGTTACAGCACAGGCGAACGCCACCGTGGCACACAGCGAGGCTTCCAAGTCCTCTGACACCTCGGCTAGCTCAAAGATTGGCCGTCAACTGTCCGTCAACTCCAATGGCAATCACTACGCGGATGCGAATCGCCAAGAGGCTGAAAGGATTCTCAATGGTTCTGGGACAAATACCCCAACCACAAAGGAGAGTTTCTTCTCGCATTTACGCAAGCGCGCCCGCAGATTGTCTGGACGAAACCAATCAACGCCTGCTGATGACGTTGAGGCCAATGCAGGTTGCATCCCTTGGTCAAACCGTTCATCAGTGGCTCTCGATGGGCCTACTAATGACCCAAAGCAAGGCTCCGACTTGAGCGAGCTGGACAAGGCTCTTCAATGTGTCAAGTACTCGTTGGACTCGTCCACAATGAGCAACGTCCCGGTGCACTTGAACAATTCCGCCGATGGCCAGACCAAGCGTCAGTCAATGCCTCAGGCTACCGGCAACAACGCTGCTCCTATCTCTAGTAGGACTCGCCGTGCCATGCAGATGTCTACCCACCCGGTTCACCGGTACGAGACTCCCGAAGAGGAAGATGAGTTACTTGATGAGGTGTTGCATTCTGCCAGCAAGGCAGCTAGACGCCTGGCTCAGACCCAGTCAATGGCTGTCGACTCGCACAGTCGTACTCACCGGCAGTCGGACAACTCGCGTGCATTGCAGAACCCCTATCCTACACCATCACCAACGGCCAAGGATAGTGCTACGTTTGGTCAACAGTCGACACCAAGCAAGTTGAACATCCACAAGATTGATCCCGCCGCCACAAACCGCCACTGGCCCACCCCTCCTTACGAGGAGGCCGAGTACCATAACAAGAAGACCGACTATTTCGCCCGGGGATCCAACTATATCTAAGTTCCTTCCCACCATCTTGAACCACATCACATCCTTTTACGTTGCCCAAGGCACAAAAAATTTGGCAAAATTGCGCAACGGAACAAACACCGAGCAACATAGCTCAAGGCGTATGGATTTGGGTATATTTCTTTTTTTTGTTTTCTGCACATGGTCTGGGCCATTTCAGAGGGTGTTTTATCATTTCACATATGGGCATCAGGCTTTCTCCCTTTTTGCAAGTTTCTCATTTCCCCAACTTCATACCCCTACAGGCTGTTTATAGATGGATCCGGGCCTCGTTTCTTTTTCCTTTTGGAGTCCTTTCGTTTTGCCATTTACCAGGGGCGTGATTTCTTTCCTTGACATTTGATACCATATGCGCGAGACGCATCATATACCGCATTTCTACCTTATTAGGTCACCCTCTCTTCATCCGATACATTTGATATCGGATCTGCACATCTGCACATCATTCTCGATGAATATTGCGCTCTTTTTCTTTTGTTTATATAATTTTCCCCCTTCCCCCATTTGTACATTGTGCGGCTACCGCCATTCCCATATTCTTGTCTATCGTTTTTCTATGATTTATTCCTCTACATACTCCTGTCATAACCCTCCCTCCTACTTCGATTTCTTGTATCATTTCCTCCCCCTCAGCTGGCTTGAATCCAGTCCGTTCTATACTATTGTAATATACGTCCGCCTTTGGCTGTTGTGCCATGCCCATACATACTTCTTACTACATACGCATTGAATCTACTCAAAATCCTATATTATGACCTTATACTTTGTAAAATTCACTTCTGTATTATCTCCCCTCAAGTTTCTATCGAGTTAGTAGGTATGGGGAGCTGGTGACGATGGAATATGATTCACAACACTGAAAGGTGGGCTATTTGGCCTAAAAGTCTGTAGCTTGGTTTCCATATTATTTAGAGAATTGAATTATACGTAGAACAAAGGTCATTCTCTCTTGAATTACATGAATGTAGAACATCACATTGCATCTATACTCCGTACATTATCAGCGGAACAACGATTATCCGTCGGCCATCAAGATTTCCTGATTGAGACTGCTCTGCTCGACTCTACCAACTTTTTTTTTTCTTCTCCTCAATTGCTCCCCAGCACCACCTCACCAGTCGAAACTAAACTGGCAATAACTTGAAATTTGGGATATAAACACCTTAGGATATCCAGCACGCGGCCCAGCAAGCACTTTTCACAAATCGCGGGCCGATTACCACAAAATCAAACCGCCCGCAATAGCTACGAGCTTAACCTCGCCCAACCGAACTCCAGCTCTATCCTCCAAAGCATAGCAATCTATATTTTACCCACCATCCATCAACAGAAAACCCGCGAAAATGTCAAACCAAAGACAAGCCTCCTCCGCCTCTCAGGTCCCCCACCTCTCACCCGCCGAACTCTCCTACCTCTACACTTCCCTCAGCCTACCCAAGAACCCAATCCGACCAGATGGCCGTTCACCCACACAATTCCGCCCTCTCTCCGCCGAGACCACCATCCTGCCCGGCGCGAATGGTAGCGCGCGCATCGGGTTCGCAGACGGCACCCAAGCGATCGTCGGCGTGAAAGCAGAAGTTGAAAAGACCGTTCTCGCAGCCGACACACTCGACTCACGCAGTCTGGCGCAGCATGGCGACGCACTGAATCGCGAGGGCGAGGAGGGCTCAGCCGCTGTCTCTGGGCAGGGAGAGTGGGTACAGATGTCGATTGAGATCCCCGGGTTTAGAGACGATGATGCCCTGCCTGTGTTTTTGAGTGAGATGATGCGGGAGAGTCTGGTTGGTTCTGTTTCTGGTGGGAACGACAGCGCGAAGGAGATGGCCGGTGGATTGAAAGGAAGACTCGTTATTAACAAACGGTGGCATTGGCGCTTGTATATCGATGTAAGTTTCTCGGAATGTTTTCTGTCGTTGCGTTTAAAGGCAGGCTTTCACCATTGCTAACATTGGTTATATCTAGGTCTTGCTCCTCTCCCAACCCCTCGCATACCCCCTCCCCCTCCTCTCGCTCACAACCCACCTCGCCCTCCTCAGCACCAAGCTACCGAAACTCAAGTCCACGGGTGAAGAAGACCCCTTCTTCGACGATGACTGGGCTGCCGCGGAGTATCTCTACCCGCGCTCCAATACTTCCAAATCTCCCCTCTCCGCCGCACCATCATACCCCGTCCGCCCACCCGTAACACTGCTCGTGATTTCCGTCGGTGACAACGTCATCTTCGATCCTAACCGCGAAGAAATTGCCGTTGCAGACGCCGTCCTGGCCATCTCAGTTACGCGCAGCAGTGACTCTGAGACTCTGAAATTGCTATCGATCCGCTCGATCGATCCCCCATCCCGCCTTACTCAGCCCGGTATCCCCAATTCCGAAAATGTGAATATGCTCGGTGCTTCTGCGGCCCCTGGCGAGGAGTCTGGTGGTCAGGAGGAGGTCGCAGGTGTCTGGCGTCCCCGAAGGGGTGGTGTCAAGCGCAGCGTCATTGCCCGGATGGTTAAGACTGTCCTTGCTAAAGGCGGTGTTGGAGAGGAGGTCCTTGAGGGTCTTGAGGAGGTTGAGGTGCAATGATTTCTTATTTTGATCCATATTCATGGCCATGTATGAGTAATATAGTACAGCATTACTTTCAGGTCGCGACTTTGATATCTGTTTTGATAGGTCGCTGCTTCTGGAGTTTGGAGAAAAGCGTTGTCTTCTTATTAAATCATTTCCGTTCATCATTGATTCGAGTAAGTTGAGATAATCTTCCTATGGTAGCTGGACTGATAGTCCACTAATGTACAGAATGGATTGAACTCCATTTACCCCAACGTCACTGCTGGTGGGAGTCCGAAGGCGCTCTCACAGGACCCCATCGATACATACCCACAGCCAGGCGACATAGACAGCATATATAGCATATGCCATACCTACATAGCTATATCACCATATCACCCGTAGAAACGAATGAAACAGCCCGTCAAAAGGTATGTAGGGAATTACAATCACCAAATTCCCAACCACTTCTTGACAGGCTTCTTATTCCCCTCCCAATCAACAAACTCGGCCTTACCGTCCGCACCCTCAACAGCAGCAACAGGGGACTGAGAATCAACTGCATTATCACCCTCATCCTTCTTCTCAGGCTCCGCCTCCTCAAGTCCATGCGCAATACGGTACTGCTTCCTCTTCTCCGCATCCTCAACGCGACGGTGACGCTGCTCCCGCACGCGCATCGAGTTATGCTGCACATGCATGCGCCACACAGAGAATGCCTGCGAGATCGTGTCGATGGGGGACGTCAGCAGACCCGACCAGGATGGTAGCAAGTGCGCGAATGGAGAGGTTGCTTTGAAGTTTGTTGTGAAGGTGAATCCGGCGCAGGAGACTAGGACACTCTGTGTGGTTGGTTAGTTGATTGTCTATTCGATTCGAAGGTTTTGCCTAGATCCAGAGCTAGGTCTTTACACCCAGAACTACTGTGCTAGTCGGCAACTCACCAATGCAATCCAAATGTGAATCCACTTGCTCGTCAGGAACTTAAACATGACTGTCCCTTCTGGCGGGAACATGCCAGGGTACTGCGTCTTGCTCTGCTGCACGCGCTCTTTCTCTGTCGTGCGCGGACCATACTCGAATGGTTGGCCTGGGGGTGCGTTCTTTGGAGATGGAGTTGTGAGGCGCTGCGGGTGTGAGGGCGGGCGGAACCTATCGGGCTTCGCGAGGACGCGTGGCTTCGAATTAGGGGTGTTGCTTTTACTGGTTTTCCTCAACGCGGCGCTGGTCGAGGTGAAGCTGCGTCGCGCGGTTTGGCGTTGAAGGACGCGCAGGGTCAACGCTGAGGGCGGGCCTCGTGGGAGGAGGAAGCCGGGGATAGAAGTTGACATTTTGGGATCGCTGTTCTTGCTCTCTTGCCCGTATCGAGGCTTGGGCTGATCTTGTTGATATCTAGATGTGGAACCGTAGATGCAATTTTTGGAGAAGGTTTTATATCACGTGACTACACCGGGAAATCGGATGCCGATTTGAGTCGAGATGCTTGCACCCGGCTGACCGCATATCCTAACTATTTTGGGGGAAAAAAAAGTGAGGCCACTTGACCTTGGGAAATTTCACATGGTTTTGTACCCATTATTTCCCGTGTTTCCCACCAATTGAAATGGTCTGAGGGTAGCTCTAAGTTGTACGGAGTAGTTAGGGTTATTTCATACTACATAAAATCAACATAATGAAAGGTCACTGCTCAAATCTACTGCCTCGGCAATAGGCTAAATTGTGCTCGCTGCCGAGAATGAATCGAGAATAAACCGTCTCTGCCTCAGGATCCACACATCGGACCACCAGCGGATCAGCTCGGGCGAATGAGAACCCTGCCATTTCGAAGCCGGGGTGGATCAGGAAGTTGCTCCAGTTTCTCCAGGGGGGAAGGGGGACGCATATGAGATATGACCGGGGGATATGGGCATGATATGGGCTAGGGAGGAATTCAATGTTTCAGTTTGTGAAGCTTGGAGCTTGGAGCTTGCACATGCACAAACATGCCAGGAACCCGCATTTAGATGAATGTTCGGAGCTGATGATGAAGTGATGAGATCATGAGGCGGAATATGGAGTGTACATGTTAGTTCTTTGCCACGAATCAGTTCAAACCATTTCAATCATTGAACCATGAATCCAAGTTATAGAAAGTAGAAACAAGAAGTAGAAGTCGGAGTATAACAGACACACCGAAGTTCCCGGTTGCGCCCGTCTACCTGAATCATCTGACTTCTGATTGGCGGAGAGACGGATTACGAGAGAGAGCGTCGGGGCCAAGTACAAATAACCAGATTTTCTTTTCTCCCTTCCCAGATTTTTCTGTACAGTACAGTGTCATAATAACTTCTTATTATCTTCATTTAATACTTCACAATGGCCCCCAAGAAGCAAGAATCTTTCACCCCTGGTAAGCTACCTACCTTCCTCCATTGCGGTCAAAGAGATTTGGTTGAACGGGTTGAACGGGGAGGCGCCATGGACAAAGAGGTCGAAGGAAGGAAGTGAGGGAATCCCATATCCTAATATGGCAATGTTGATTAGCTACTGGGATAGCAATTGACACACTTCCTCGCCTCTCACATTGCGACTCCTCGTCAACCTAACTACCTCTCAATTGCGGATTGCCGCAACATTTTTCGAAAATACCACGCATCAGTTATTCAACATGACTACATTTGATGTGTTCTGCACCTTGACGACCATCGACATGCGCGAGGCCGAACGAGCAGCCCTCATTGAAGAAGTCAAAAAAGAAACCGACAGGATCGCTAATCTCAGCTTCGCTCCAGGTGACGCCGCCAAGGGTGCCAAGCTCTTCCAGGTACGTTCATTATCACTTGCGCAGACGAAATGATAGATTAAAACTAACAGCTCTCTTTTTTTAGACCCGTTGCGCCCAGTGCCACACCACCGAGGCTGGCGGTGCCCACAAGGTCGGCCCCAACCTTCACGGTCTCTTCGGCCGTAAGACTGGCTCCTCCGAGGGTTACGCCTACACCGATGCCAACAAGCAGGCCGATGTTGAGTGGAACGAGACCTCTCTGGTAAATACCAACTGTCTTCAGCTCGGCCTCGATCACGCGCTAACGATACATAGTTCTCCTACCTCGAGAACCCCAAGAAGTTCATCCCCGGTACCAAGATGGCCTTCGGTGGTCTCAAGAAGACCAAGGAGCGCAACGATCTCATCACGTACGTTACCCGCGAATCCATATCGGAACATCCAACTAACAACCTCATAGCTGGCTCAAGGAAAACACCGCATAAACGACCTGATGTTCTTTTTTATTCCCCGGCTTTTTTTCTGTTTCTCCCCATAGAAGTCTGGGATGGCGCCATGGGCTGATTACTGAATCTCCCAAGGACCGGGCCTGTATTTTTATTACAATTTCCATGACCCACAATAGATTTGATCTTTCTCCTCTTCATTTTCTTTTTGGTATTTTGATAGAACAAACGCACTTACACGCACTTACAAACGGGAAGTTATACAAGGTTTCAAGTGTTTGAGAATCTTCGGATTATGATGGAGGTCTGACTTATGATTGGTTGATGGACAAGGGTGTATCGATTGGGCAAACATGGGCGGTCAGGCATGGAGATACTGAAATGGTACTTGCAGAGTACGTCAACACTAACCGCAGATACTACACAAATTGGATGTACCTTCCTTGTACTCCCATCGTACCATTTCGGTATCTGATATGTACACGCCGTGTTGGCCCTCGAGTCTCCAAGGTTAGCACATGACCAAGCAGGGGTCAGGCTGATTGGCCCAACCTCCTCGACTTGGATACAAGTGAGGGGGATGCTGTCTCGTCTTCTCACTCCTGCATTGCTCAAGGCGTTTCGATCCCAGTTCCATATTAATCTCCAGTGCGTTTGCTGACATCTTGTCCAACAACAACTACTTCGTATCGAATGCTATCTCGGAGATATCCCGTATCGCCATTTAGAATCCAGTACCTACCTTGTCGCATCGCATCGCATTATACCTTATCGCATCTTTGTCGCGGGGGTGATTGCGCGGATATCTTCTGTAACGGCTAGCGCAGGAGACACCCGTCCCAGCGCTATACTAACCACTCTAGTTTACCTAAGGAGTCAAAGCGGTTCAACCGCAAGTGTTCGCCACTCATAGGCATTGATCTGCGCTTCGTCGCTGAGAACTGCAGTGCCTCTTCTTCCGAGGCGCGACTTTCGCGATACGCCGTCCGGGATGCTGGATGAGTTAGACAACGTCTTCGACGACCATCCATCTCTGGACGCGTCGCTCGAAGACTTCGAGAACAATACCAACCCCCACAGGTCCCCAATGTTCGCTCTGCCATCCCAACACTCCGGATTCCGATCTGAAGACTCAGATGGGGAAGATGGAGAGATCGAGGACCCTGCGCAGGAGCGATGGTCACCACCAGGCTTCCACCCATCCGAATACGTCCAGGGCAGTGGATGGTACCGCCACCAGCCCTACTTGCGCAAAGATAACCTCAATACGGATCGTTTGCAGCTCAAGCCCACAATCGGACTAAGCGTCTCCCCGTCCCAATCGCGCGAGCCAAGTCCACAGTATGAGGATGCGCTCGAGAGTCCCACGAAGAGTAGACAGGTCGATCGTGCCACCCCGGGCGACGTTTCTGTCGCGGCTAATGTGCCTCTACCGGCGGGTGCCGATACCCCCCTCCATGGAAGATCCCCAAGTCCGCCTCCGGCTCCGAATACAGGGCGCACACCTCGGCACAGTCCCGAAGACGACGGGGTGGGCTTTGGCGCGGAAAATCTGAGCAACTGTAGGCCCTGTCTGATCTGGTTTCAGTTGCAGGCGCGGGTATACTAACGATTGTTGTGAATGAATAAAGACATTCGCTTTGCAGTGCGTGCAGAAGTCCAGCATCGAGAACCCATTGCCGCGTTATTTGGCTACCTGCGCTCAAAGTTCCAGCGCATGACCAGCTCCAAGTCTAACACCACCTTATCTATCATAATCCTCCTCCTCTCAATCGCGTTCATGCGTGCCCTAGTCCTTCCAGGCCTCCCACAATCGATCCCCGATCTAGTAAAACTATCCGGCTTCGCCCGCTCCTTCGAACCATTGATATACTACTCAGAGAACGGCGTTCAGCAAATAGGTACCCTGCAAGAAACCGGCGTCGCAGTCTGGGACCTGAGCGAGTCCGTTCGCGGCACAAACATGACTAGCGCACCCATAATAGTGCGACAACTAGATGAACTCTCCGACTCACTGAAGTCCCTCTCCCTCGAGCTAACCCGCTTCTTCGCAAACGTCGACTCAGACATCGACTCCATCCTAATAGTAATGGACTGGGCCAAGCGCGAGCTCGAAACTCTCTCCGCGCAACCGCCAAGCACTCTCCCAACAATTGTCTTCGACAACATGCACAACATGCTCTCCCGCCTGGGTGCACTAGAGCGCTCAGCGCAAATCTCCGACAACGGCGTCCCCGCAACTTCAACAACAATAACACCGCTCGGTCACCTCGTAATGGCCGTCTTCGGCCCAACATCCGCCCAACGAACACGCACAACCCTAACCCGCACCTTCACGGAGTTCCTCTCCGTTCTAGAAGAATCAATAAACAGCGAACTCACCCACTCAACCGCACTCTTCGCGCTCTTCGAATCCATCGACCGTCAGTTCCTCAATCTGCAGCGCACGGTCGTCCGCGAATCAGACGCCCAGGAACGAGCAGAGGGTGAGATGCTTTCTTCGCTATGGACGCGCGTGCTAGGGCCCGATGCCGCGGCTGTTCGCAAATACGAGAAGAACAAGAAACTCCTCGCGAACGTGCGCAGTCGCACAGTCGCCAATAAACACCTTCTCGTTGACCACCGCGGCCGACTGCTCACACTGAAGGTCAATCTCGAGACGCTGCGCAGGAAGCTAGTTAGTCCGCTTGTGCGGCGGAATGACTCTGTCAGCTTTGTCGGCTCGATCGATGGGGGGAGCGGGAACGGGAACGGGAATTCTGGCTCTACGGGTCGCATGCTCGGGCCTGTTGAAGCTGTTATTGATGGACAAATCCGTGGGTTGGAGGGGACGTATGATTACCTGCGAGCTGTTCGGGAGAAGCAGAAAGCGAAGCTTATGGAGCTTGTTTATGGGGCTGGGAGGAAGCCAAGTCGGGCTATGATTGATGGATTGGAAGATGATGAGTGAATGTCTGATCTTGTTGCTTCTTTTGGCCTTATTTGTGGCATAGCATCCTGTTTTAGGTCGGGGTTCGTCTCCTCTCTGGCGTTTTCTAGGGCATGTATGGCAGGGCATCCGCGGGCTTTTTGGAATATGGCGGCTTACCTACTGTGCCTCTTCTGCTTTTTCTTTTTCTTTTTTTTTTCATGGCGAATAGGCAGGACGAGGAAAAGGGATAGAAACATGGCGCCAGCTGGTTTTACTATGGAGCCGTGCAGTTATGGGCTTTGTGGATGTATGAATGAATTTTCTTGCTGTTCATAGTCATTGTTCTTATGCAACTTTCATATGAGTCACTATCTATACATAGAAACCTTGGAATTTCTCTGTACTCTTGATCATTTTTACCGTCTTATATTCTTGAGTCATAAGCCCAGCTTGTCTTCCATAAATGCATGTAGCTAATGATCATCCTTCTAGCTATAAAATCAAGAAGAAACATCAGAGAGTTATCTTACATATAACATCAATTATAGTTCCTTTAGCCAGATAAAGTCGGGTTATCAATCCATGCGTCGTCCAGGATAGAAGCCGGATATACGCCGATTATTTTGTTTCCTATGCCCCTAGATGGCGTAAATGTAAACTGTGTCTTTCTTTCTTTGCTTTTTATATAGCAAAAGTCCTATTTGACACAAAATCGACGAGTTCCCCCCTTTTGGTGATTCTCATGGAAAGGAGTCCCCATCAACAACATGAATTCCCTGAGCTTCATCGTTAGGCAGTAGCCCCGGTGACGGCCAACCCGGCCTCCGATAGCTTGACCATTCGCCGTCAATTGCTTCGTTTTTTGCACGTGAGCCTGTCAGATGTACGGGGACGCGCATATACCGGAAGCCTCTTAAGCACGAAAACGGCAGATGTCTAAGAAGTTCATGTTCCGGGTCACAATCGGTGTACTCATCAGCTCTGACCAGGATAACCGTTTCGTCGAGTGCAAACTGTGCATCAACAAAGATAAAGAGAATATCTTCATTATCAGTCCAGGAGAGATAGATATTAGTGATGATCTGCCAGATGTCTTTGACCTTCCCATCAGTCACGCCAGGGTTCCCATTCCTCCAAGGCACAGGCACATACTCATGACCGAGCTCATCATCGTATTCATCATCCTCGGATTCCTCGTCGTCAGATTCATCGCGTACCCTGATTTCCTGGAGTCTCTGGGTCTGTTCCTTGGTTAGGCGATTTGTGAGGAAGATTACAGACCGCGTGTCATCGGTCATTCCGTGCCATAAGTACTCAACTAAGAAGCATGGTTGATCTGGGTGGTATAGCATCTCCATCTCTTTGGAATCAGGGCTTGGAATTAACAGACTACCACGCGTTGCTAGGTCCATGAAGATAGCGGGCAAAGTCCCCCGAAACATGATTGGTGCCCCACGCATGGCATTGATAACGCCGAATTGTGACGTGTTGAGATTGGAGAGAGGCTCGCTGAGATAGAGCAGAGGCACACCCTTTCTATTCTGGTGGAAATCAGCAGCCCACGGATAGTATTGCTTCCAGAAAGTTGAAAGCTCCCGTCGGGTCCTGAGGCGGTGCCGATCCCGTGGAATCAGTTCTACGGTGGTTATTTGGAGAGGTTCGAAGAGACGGCCAGAGCGTGCGACACAATATCCAAAGCTTTCATCACCACTTCCACATTCCAGGGCAATTTGTTTCATAATGGAAGGGAGTGCATCTTGGATTTCCTTTTGCGTCTTGTGAAGCTCCTCCGATGTGGTATGATAGAGGAGAAATATGAGTAAATGTGTCTTACTCGGACGACGCTCCCAAACGGGCATCTTCGGGAGACTGGGTTGCGTATGTGATACGTTGATTACGAGTTCCATAGGCAAAGAGGGAGATAACGCGGCAGCTACAGCCTTCAGATGGCGCTCTCGCCCAAGAACTGCCGAGCCAACTGTGAACGGCTCTTGATCGGGGTCATGCATTATGAAGCCTCTCCAGTCGCATATTTGACTCCAAAGGGGCCCCCAATATAAGTTGGTGGAGTCGAAGACCGGTGGTTGGAATGATCCCCCATAGACTGGATCGTTGTGCATGAAATTATAAACAGAACCATCATAAGCAGAATCATCCGTATCAGAAGGACCAGCAGGACCTTCAGGGCTATCAGAGTCATCAGAGTCATCAGGAATATCAGGACCAACAGGCTCCTCATACTGACGTGGCGGTGAAAGCGGCGGTGGAAGGCAATTAGCACGCTTCGCATGTACAGAAATCTTGTCCGGATCATCGTGCAATTTTTCGACAGATATCAAGATTACCGATATGACATGTTTGTCGTCAAACGAAGGGTTGTGATTTCCAGAGAGATGGCGTTTAGTTGCCTCATCTGCAACGATGATTCTTGGGCGACCTGACCGATACGCTAAGACAGCAAGAGCATGGATGTTACTTGCGCTGTCTCTTTCGGGACCCTGTGCCACGATAGACTCGAGGAGCTGTCTGGGTGGCGACCATATCTTCACTTTAGAGTTGGGTTTCCCTTGGAATTCATTTCCGAAATAGTGCTTGTAGTAAGATTTGAGGTCCTTCTTAAGGGCCCACTGCACAAGCCTAACAAGCTGCGCTTGTCTAGTTTCATCCAGGTCTGTCAAGAGAACAAGCGGCCAGGAGTAGTCTGGATCCACGGGCTCTTTTGGGGGAGCAAAGCTGCTCGAAGACTCCATACTTATACGGGGTATTTTGAATATTTAAGAGGTGGAAATAGGAAGTGCAGGTATGGTTGCGTTAAGGTGTTTGTTATGGTGGGGGGCACGGGAGATGTCTGATTAGTTCTCCAACTCCATCATTCTCTTGTCTCATCAACATGTTGAAAATCTCACGGTCCATACAGAGCATGCAAGGATCACGGAATATTTCTTCTAGACATATAGTTGCAGTTTTATTCCAAGCAATTGACCCCCCTATAATCAACGGAGTCCGCAAACCACGCAAACCAGGCGGTGAGATACATTTCCCCTGTCTATGATTACTTATTCTGACTCGTCACAGGATATCAGGATTCAGGCGCGGATATTGCATACACATTACGGTCCAGGGGAATCGAGGTCATCACGCCCCAGTCCTCCCCTTCCATTACTCACCATGAGGGCTGGTGTTTCCCGGATTCAGAAGAAGGGATCTACTCTGCAGTAACACAAGGTGCCACACACCTATGGGCAAATACCATCCTATTCTCTTCCCATCCTCTCCAAACGGCATCATGTCTGGATAGTTATGCTCCGACCCTACGGGTCGTAGGCCAACCACCAGGTCTGGTGGAGAAGTTCGATGACAAGATGTTCCTGAACGATAAACTGCGCGCGCAAGGGAACTTTACCTTGCCTCAATCGTGGGTAGTAAATGTAGGAGAGGATGTAGATGTCCTGCTCCAGTCAATCCCCAATTACCCCATCGTCGGGAAACCGGTTCGTGGTCGTGGGAGCCACGGTGTGAAAGTCTGCCACACTCCACCTGAGCTGAAAACTCACATCGAATCACTATTTAAAGAATCACCCGTGGTCCTGCTAGAGGAATTTCTGGCTGGCGAGGAAGTTACGATTACCGTGATGCCTCCATCCCTCGCCCGAGCGGAGTATTGGAGCATGCCTCCTGTGGTCAGATTCAACCACGACCAAGGTATCGCGCCTTACAATGGCACAGTCGCTGTTACTGCCAATTCTCGCGTTCTCACCAAGGATGAGATGCGGGATCAAGCTTACGAGGAGGTGATGCGTCAATGTGAGGAGGTGGCAAGTCTCATCAAGGCTACGGCTCCTATCCGCATTGACGCCCGGCGATTCAAACCTGGGTCGGAGTTTGCTATTTTCGATGTCAACATGAAACCTGTATGTTCTTTTATTTGAATAGTGGCCGTTATTTATATGCTGACCTCAATCGCTAGAATATGACTGGTCCTGGTCGACCAGGTCGTGAGGATCAAGCTAGTCTGACTGCTATGGCGGCAGCTGAGTATGGGTGGGATTATCCTACCCTATTGCAGAATATATTGCATGGAGCTTCGACGCTAGAGACGTTCCGTCAATATCGCACTCTTTTATGAGACTAATACACTGGTCTCTTGTTCTTCGTGGCATTTACAACCCTAGAAATACACCTAGGCGTTGTCTTCTAGCAATTCCAAACGACCTAATACCCGAATTCTGTGGAAGCTTTCCAGCCTGGGGGCGTAGAGGGATATAACTTATTACTGCAGCCTAAGCAAATAAACCTCGGGACCAGCAATATCCAGGACTACAAAAGGTCCAAGCATTACTAAATATGTCCCTTGATAGGTATGACCGGTGCTGCTCTTTCTTCCCTGGGGTATGACTTTGTGGTTTTGTTTTGCCATGCTGTATCGAGAGATTTTGTGCCACATACACCGGATATTGCGCTAGTCGTGATTTTATTTCGGTCTAAAGTTCGCTTGCGATACGTTGTAGTTCATCTCTCGATATGCTATTTGTGCTATTTTATACTTCGTATTATTTTTCGTCATACTGTTTACATATTCCTTTAAGTGGTTACTGAATCTTCCGGCTCATGAGCACAAAGCTTGCAATATTAGAACGATTGGTTATGTGGTCTGGATACATGGATGCTAGCACAAGTCGACTTTCCGTATGACTTGACGTAAGAATACATTCGTCTAAACGATAGATAAATTTGCTGGTCATCGCTTCTCTTTCGCAACCGAAGCCACTCTGCAATGAGAGATAGTTTTGGAGAGCATTCAGCCACAGGGATGGACTTTTCTATATGAACTGAAGCATTTGAACTCCATCGAGCTTATGCTGGTAGAATCCATTGGCTTGTACGCGTACTGTTTCCCGCATAGCCTGGGCATTTGCCAAAGGAGACAGGAAAAGTAACACACCAAGCCTCCGTAGTGCTTCGCCTATTCTGTAGTAAAATTTGACGAAGAACGCCTACTATCAGTATGTTCGCCCAAAGACTGAGATGTGCGATGTCCGTGGCCAGTCGCAGTTCCACAATAGCCGCGCTTGAACCGTCGTCTCTTCTCTAGTATTGGACGTCTGGAACCAGGCAAATGAATAGATTGCGAAGGCTTCCTTCCGCTATCTGACAGGGCTGAAGTCGTTTTGGTTCGCGTGAATCCGTTTGGTCATATCGCAGTAGCTGAACGGGACCAAACTGCTAGCTGGCGGAGAGCACATCTTGCTGCTATCTTGGCCCTACGGACACCCAAAGGCAGTTCGATCTTCGCACAAGACCACAATGGGGCGAGGGACTCGCTTTGATGTCGACGCGGAACCTCCACTTTGAGTGATCCTTCACTTTGGATACCCCGAGGTCGTCTCCATGTGATCTGGGCACTCTTGAAGACACTTCATTTTGCAGAGAATAGAGATGAAGTATCGCTGAGAAAGAGTTGAGAGGAACTTGGGTTGCAGATTATGAGAAGACGGATTTGAATGAATCCCATTGGCTGAACGGCGTATATAGTGCTCGGGTTTGTTGAAAAAGAAAGAAGTATGTATGCTGTGGTGTATCTCCCGATCAATGCACTATCCCTGAAAGAATGGCCAGACTTGAGTCCTGAAGTAAGGTCCCAAATGTGACTTCCTTTCCGTTCGTTTACCGCGACTCCCTTGCAAGTGGCTATCAAGGCCCAATAGATGGAAATGGTCTCCTAGTCCTGATCACTAGAATGGGTACCTATAGAGTTAGCAGAGAGTTCCCGCAGGCACCTCTTACTAGGAAAACCAGGTATTTTCCACACCTACAGAAGTCTATAGATGAAGGTATGCTCACGACAGTATCGACGAAGTTGGTATAGAGCTGTGATCCGTGACTTCTAACCTGGCCAAGCACCTCCCTTTGGAGGGCCAGCGTATACAAGGAAGACCAAGGGGATTCAGTATCCCTAGGTGCCTGAAGTGAAAGTATATGAGTAGTCGGATGGTGGGAGATGTAAAGATATTTCAAGGAGAGTTAAGTGGCTTAAATATCAAACAGGGGCTTCCTGAATAGGTAGGTTCGCACAAAGAGGAAAGAGCGATCGATCTATGACTTAGGGGTTTGGGCATAGGTATGCACATCACGTATCAAGAGTAATTATAGTAGATCATGGTATAACCTATAGCTATAGGATATAACCAGGGAGTGATAATCAGATATCTCCAGGGAAATGGCGTGCTGCATTCATTATGAAATAGAGTGGACAGGGGAGAAAGGAAGACTATATAGCCCTGACCCCAAGGGGGCCTAAGGCTACTGAACACTATAACTGGCAAGCTTCTAACATTTCTCTGTCTCAGGTACTTGTTACGGTTTGCTAAGGGTTATATCTTGGAACTAAAATCCAAAAGAAACCATCTCCGTTTCGTTGAGACTGAATTGCTTGTGAATGGATTCTTCTACAATTAATCTATTTTCTATCCTATGTCTTTTCATGGTGTTTTAGAATCACCAGCCTTGGCGATAGTAAACCTATGCTCAAATTTTGCCCCCGAAACATCATCTTCGATCAACCGAACAAGTCCACTGCGCTGTTTCGGACGATTTCAGGGCCCAGGACCGCGGCCAACTCGGCAACGATTCCCTTGATAGACATAGGCGAAGTCATTGACATGGTTTCCCATTTAACCAGATCCTGATTGGGTTTAGTCAGGCTGTCCCTCTTGCCTAAATGGGATGGAAAGAAGAGAAATCCGCACCTTCATATGAACAAAGTTGTTGTTAAAGAACAGCAGCCAATGATCCAGGTCCAGTGCTTCCACTTGGGGGACAGTAAGGACACCAGGCATACCGATATCGAAGAGGGAAACCTGCTCTAGGTCGGCGTCAATTTTCGGGGCCTCAGGCGCAGGAGAGGATGACCGGTCCCGAGACAAAGAGACATAAGAACGGGAATTAAGCTTCTCTGTCAATTCGCCATCAAGCGGGTCCCAGTTGCAGGATTCAGGGTCTGAGTAACAGAGAAAAGGGTCAGATGCTGTGCACAATTTTCATGTAGTACAAAATATATGTGCCAAGGCATGAGTGGAACCTACCAAGGATGTACTGGGGGCGGAAATTGGCCTTGTAACGCATCTTCTGGCAGGTATGAATGTAGTAGCCTATAATGCAGTTGTTAGACGCGCGTAAAATAGGGATTAGTTCTTGCAACCTACCCATGTAGTAGTACAGATACTGATTTTCGATTGAGAAGGCGATTTCCCGCATAGCGCTCAGCTTGCCGATTTCCCATTGCTCATAGGCGGGATCGTAACTGTGTGGTGCTGTCAGCTCATCGCATATTTCCGTGTTTTGAAGTGCAGTCAGCCATCAGCTTACAAGACGTAGACGGAGCTGACACCATTGGGGACTAGGTCCAATACTGCAACAGCAATGAGCTCGCCATCAAGACGATAGCACTGATGCCATGACCCGAGTTTCTTCTCAGAAGCATTGGTGGCCGTTAGGGGATTCGGAGTTCGTTTGATGCCTGTGCATAAGAAGCGTTGAAAGTCCTTGGGCTTCCAGTGAGAGACATCCTCCTTATGGATGGCCGTTTGGTACTTAAGAAACAGCTCGAACTTTGCCTGAGACACAGAGTCACCTTCAATGGTAATTTCAAAACGGTGCGCTGGTTCAATGGGAAGCTTGGTGGCAGGATCAATTGGCCGTTTGACGTGGTTGTACTCGCTTTGATGGACAGCTGACAGAAGGTCGAAGTTGCACTTGCGGTGCTTTTTTTCTCTATTTGTTAGTTAGCAATCTGATATCAAATTTACTAAATATAGGATTGCATACTCGCGTGTTCGCGGACAAAGCCGGGCTGCCTTTCGCATATACTCGGGGCCTAAGATGAATTTGTTCCACTTGTTGATGGCTTTGCGTTGATCGCGGCGGGGCTGATAAGCGGTTGCCTCTAGTCTCAAAGTATAGTGAGGACAGCAAGACCGAAGCAGATTTTGCTTGTAGTAAAGATTTCCCGATCTAAGGATGTTAGTGTGGTCTGATGAGTTGCAGGGAAATTAAAAAAGGAAATCATACCGTCGCCAACCGCAATTGATTAGTTCTTCATAATGCTCCGGGAGTACGGACGTGGAACTGGTGTAGTACGATTCACCTTTTACGTATTAGCATCTCATACATTTTCTAGCCCTGAAAGAAAAAAAAAAAGAGAGACAAAAGCAGGGGTAGGGACAACAAACTTCCATCTTTGGATTTGCAGTAACCACATGAGTTCTTTTGGTAACCTGACAGGATCACATCACATTAGTCTCTGCATACGAGGGGTTGGACAATTAAATCGCTGCAGTAATTGGCGTTGATATCCCCGCCGAATTTCCCTAAGTAGTAGCGCTCTGGGCCAGTGGAGGCGCCACGGGGTAACAGAGGTCTATCTCAGTGGTTCCCTGCAACAGAGTGGGACGTACCCAGTGGGCGGAATAAAGACAGTTCTCGCGCGCGTTCGGCGTCAACCCGTTGCATCTTTGGCGTGCACTGAGGAGTGGACGTGAGTTGTAGGAGAGAAAAGTTGAAGTCGGGAAAGTCGGCGGTAAATGTAAATACGGTCTACACGGTAAGTGGGATATGACTACAATTATGCGGTTTATTTAGGTCTATGGTTCTTTTAGCCGTCCGTATATGTATCTCATCTCACAAAGCCACATAGCCGATCTTATAGTTTGTGGTCAATCGCCCCCCGAGATTCCCCCATCTCGCTACCAGCAAATCCCGTTTAAAGATGCTTCATTGCCCACACATTTCAATGATGGGGATGATAAAATAGTTACCCAAAATAAAAGTACATAGTAGATTGTATAGATTTGTAGTAAATTATAGCATTTATATCAAATATAATATAATATAACAAAATTAACAAAATATAATGATCATAGGTCTTTGATCTGGATGGTCACATGACCATATATAGAGTGGAAAAAAAAAAAAGAGTTAAAAGATCATTGAACTCCTTACTAGGACTCTTGTCTATAACTATATTGACTATAGTACACGATGTAACAAAGATTGTAAATATACAAAAGAGACAATAATAGAAAAAGAAGAAATAAGAAAAAAAAAAGAAAAACAAAAAAAAGCCAACGTACCTCGACTCTTCTCCGGACTGCGCCGCCGGTGCCCCTCCATTCCCACTTCTCTTCATTTCTCCATTCCTCAATAACCTCCCATTTCTCAGATCTTCTTTTTCAAAACCATGCCTATTTCCACTTACCATTCCAATCCCCCGTCAGACATGAACGGGAAGACCTGATCCTCCATTGACTCCGCAATATCCAAGGGAGAAAAAAAAAATTCCCCCCCGACCGCCCTCGCGCTGTACTCCCGCTCCTCTACACTACCCCCCCAGACACCTGGAGCTTTCACTCTCACCTCAGAGACCTGACAGGCTCCGAGGGAGCTTGCGAGAGCATCATCTACAGGAAATCCCTTGATCTTTTGATATCCTTGATCTTTCCACTCTTTTTCTCCCTTTCTACTTCTCACCGGGGAATTTCCTTTTCACTCAAATCTCGGAGTAAATCCAAGGATATTCGATTGTCTATCACAATGGCTCAAATTCGGTCTATGGAAGCCCGCGTTGGGCGGAAAAACCAACGTGAGTTATTGCTGATGTCGCTTTGCGGCTGCGCACGTGGGGGGAACCCGTCCCCCTTACGTCTACACTGTTCCTGTGTTTCCTGACTCTAACGGCTTGTCATAGGCTACGGCTCAAAAGGCGAGCGACTAGTAGCCGGCGTTGTCCCTATTTCCGCCGACAAGACCAAAGTCCTCATGATTCAGTCCGCCGGACCCGGAGGTTGGGTGCTCCCCAAGGGTGGATGGGAGCTCGATGAAAAAACCCCCGAGCAGGCTGCATGCCGTGAAGCCTGGGAGGAAGCCGGTGTTATCTGCATTGTCGTCAGAGATCTGGGACTCATCCCGGACATGCGACCCTCCGGCCTTCTCACGGCGCAAGCCCCCAAAGCCTCATACCAGTTCTTTGAAGTCTCCGTCGAGCGAGAGGAAACCGAGTGGCCTGAGATGCACAAGCGGAAACGGCAATGGGTTTCCTATACCCAAGCTGCCACTGCCCTTGCGAACCGGCCGGAGTTGCTTGAAGCGTTGAATCGCAGCTCCTTGAAGCGGTAGCCCCTATCGCGTGCACATTCAGTTCTCTTGCACATCAACCTCTCTCCCCTCCTCATTTTTCTATCCTCACGTGCATCACCTCTCTGAGAGAACTACCCCCTGATAATGACTCGACATGACCGACTCCAAAAAACGGTGGCTTCGTCGCTTCTACTATTGGCTTTGTCTACCCTTTTTTTTTGCATCTTTTTAACGGGCTGCCGCTACCCGTCCTCTGTTTCATTTGCGAATGAACCATCTGAATCTGCGTGTTTTGCTTTGTCTCGCTCTGATAGACACCTTTTCGCAAACAGGTCTGAGGGCTTTGGGACGTTCTTGCATTGATACTGGGGGATCCCTTATTTTACCAACTTTGGTATCAGACTATTTTATCTGAATCCATTGCTTGCACTGTTTCACTTGCCAGATTTCGAGCGCACTTCCCTTAGTTCTAGATACCAGTCTTTTGCATGGCTTTTTGGATGCTGGATCCAGTGTCTATACCCAGCAAACTGAATCAAATCTGAACCACTTCCTCCACTCTCCTGAGAAAGAGAAAAAAAAAAGGAAATGAACAGAAGAATGTATTTCATTATAACTGTAAATGTAAACGTTAGAAAACGAACGATTTGATATTGGCACATTTCAGAGGCTGTGTCCCAATTAGGTAAAGCGCAAAAAGCTGTCTCCGAGGGAGCAAATCCGCGTGCTCTCAAGTCAACGACTTCGCGCTCGAATCATCTACCACAACAGCTCATTACCCTCTCATTCACCATTGCACCCCGCACTCTTTCTTTTTCTCATCCTTCTACTTTTATGACCCGCAGATAAACGCCTCCAGCTCCAGACAAGGGTGGCGGCGAGCAGCGCTGCTGCATACATACCATGGATTACGAAATGGATCTCGAGCCCACAGGGCCCCAAGTGACAGTTCGCGAAGTAAGGCAAGAGACATCTGTCAAAGCAGAATACAAGACTCACAAATCCCATAGGCGGAACCCTACCGCGTCGACTTCAGATTGACCGCAGTCGACCTCGCATTCGCTAACTCCCTCCGACGAACCATCCTCGCCGAGGTGCCTACTCTAGCCCTCGACTTGATTGAAATTGAAAGCAACACCTCAGTTCTTCCCGACGAGTTCCTCGCCCACCGCCTCGGCATGATCCCCTTGAACTCCTACAACTGCGACCAAGACCTTGAATATTCACGAGACTGCGACTGCGAAGACCACTGCGTGCGCTGCAGCGTGACATTGTCTCTGCACGCGCGCTGTGGTAGTGGTATCATGTCCGTCTACGCGCGGGATTTGATTGTCGTCGGCGAGCGGATCAACGAGAAGATCGGTGACCCTGTGACCACTGACCCTGAGAACAAGGGTCCCTTGATCTGCAAGCTGCGTAAAGGACAGGAGATCAAGATGACTTGTCTGGCGAAGAAGGGAACCGCGAAGGAGCATGCTAAGTGGGCACCCACTGCTGCTGTCGGCTTTGAATATGATCCCAACAACAACCTGCGCCATGTGGACTACTGGTATGAGCAGGATGCGGCGAAAGAATGGTATGTATTTCGAGCGTTGATTTGATACTCACGAGGTTGCTTTGATCAAGTTTCTAACAATGACTTTCATAGGCCTGTCTCGGAAAATGCCGCCTGGGAACCCGCTGCAAACCCTGATCAACCCTTCGACTACGATGCGGAGCCTAACTGCTTCTACTTTGACGTTGAGAGCATTGGCAACCTCGAGCCAGACATGATCATCCAGCAGGGTATTGTGTCGCTCCAGCGTAAGCTCGCCACAACCGTCTCTGTCCTCCTAGGTCAAGGCCAGGATGGACATGCCGGAGGCGCTGAAGATGCTGAGATGATGGGTGCCAATGACCCCGATGCTTACGAGCCACCCGAGGGCATTGACGGAAACATGACTGCCTACGGAAATGGTGCGGCCAGTGCTTGGGGCGCTAGTGCACAGACACCATACGGTGCTACGCCTTACGGACAGAGCAGCTATGGGTACTAAACGTGCATAACCCAGCAAGCTAAAATAGAGCTCGAGCATGCGCAATGGAGTTTTGATTTCCTGGTGAATTGGGGGCGCACTCTGGAGTTTTCCGTTCTTTGTATCTCTTTTGCTGTTCGGGACGGTCCTCTGATTCTAGAGAATGGCTGGTCTCTTTATCTCAAATATCTACTCGTCGGTTCGCTGAACCTGAAAATATCAAATATCATGGCCTTTTGCTAAAACTATCTGACATCTTACAAGTGTTACTACATCATGGGCGTGGGAACAATCTAAACCCCAACCAATCCCCTAGACTACTAACCAGGTGAAAACCCGTATACCTACATCTGTACCTGTATGTACCGGATTTTAGGTCACGTTCACGAATTTCCCGGGGTGCCGTCGCCTTTATAAGGGCGCTCCTGCTCACTAAGTATTTCACAGCACGGGTGATCACTGAGCACCCGTGGATTTAGGGTATGCTTAGTAATATACAAAATATCCAGGCCATAGTTATAATCAAGAAGCAGGCCGATCTGGAAAAGACTATTCGCTACGTATTATTATGATTATATGATATGTACAGAAATATTCCTCTAACTGCAGTCACGATATCAGTAGCTTATAAAAATATTGGCCCCAAAAATAGGGGACAAAGTCCGTCAGTAACCTGTATCAAGCCCAACCTCAATTCTTATGGTCTCTATACACAGCGTGCACCATCAACCAGAATCTCAACACCACTAATAATTGAGCTTGCAGGCTCAGCTAAGAAGAGAGCGACATTCGCGACATCAGACGGTTCAACAAGGCGACCGATTGGAATTGACTCGCACTTTGCCTTGATGATCTCCGGGGGAACTGGTCCATCTGCGATACCAGCGAACTTGTTCAACAGAGGTGTGTTTCCGGATGTCGGACAAATAGTATTGAAACGCAGTTGGTCTCTGGCAAATTCCAAAGCCATCGACTTTGTGGCCGAAGAGACACCCGCTTTCGTAGCGTTATACCATGTCTCGGTAGCACCAGGGCGGATGGCATTCTCGCTAGAAATCACAACGGTGGAGCCAGGGCCATTCTTTTTCATTTCGGGAATGAGAACCTTTGAAGCAAGATAGATACTTCTAACGTTAACGTTGAATAGGCGGTCAAACTCTTCCACGGTCACGTCTAATCCAGACTTGTTCGGGTACGACCAGCCGGCATTGTGAACGACAACTGATGGAGCTTTGCCGAATCTTGAGATGGAGGTCTCGAGCTATACAAAACATATCAGTATTATAGATCTAGCACGCGAGAGATAAATGAGGGAGGCTGGCTTAACTTACAGCTTTCACCCAACTTTTCTCTTCGGCAACATTGGCTTTGATCTGATAGGCCACTTTCTCTGAATAGCCATCGACGGATCCATCGGTGGCCTGGAGGTCCATTCCAAGTACGACTGCACCCTCGCGAATGAAGGTCTCAAGAATTCCGCGTCCAAATCCTTGGGTTGAGCCCGATACAAGAGCGATCTTTCCTTCGAGGCAGCCTGGCATGTTGATGCGTTCAAGGACTGTTGACGTTTGGGTTGGGTTTGAGAGTATGGAGGTAATTGATTAATTGGTCCTTTTGAGCAATGGCTTCATCAATCATTTATACAATCAAAAGCAATCATTTTAGCACAAAAGTTGAAGCATCTATACGGACAGTGATCCGAGAGGGGAAGTCGGATGGCCCTTCCGCGTTTTGGTCTCTTAGCTTTCTAGATCTAAATGATATCTATACATTTTTCTCGGCCCGGTCTGCTGTGCCAGAAAGCAATTGATACGTGATCTTATCTCGGCTATAGCTGGAGTTCGGAGTTGATCGCTGATATTATTACACGTCAATCAATGTTTTCCCCGCAAACCCACCATTCTGCCAGGAAATTACTTTTGTCTTCGCTCAGACCAGCCGGAGTACCAGTTGGACTACTGCTGGCAGTAGGAAGGGGCTCGAACGCTGCCGAGGATGCGGAGATAGATATGCGCTATACGTTTGATCAACTCATGACTGGAACTTCATGGTCTGAATGCTTGATTGATATAGACTAAGACCAGCATGATATTACACTTTTTAGTCTATAAATTTCACCTGTTACATGGCCTGGAAGTAGATGTTTGTGTGCTTGCTTCTATTATATCGACATGACTGCATGAACAATGGATTTTGGATATACTAGCTTTCATCGTTGGTAAATGCCCAATGCATAACAAGATCAAATTTGACAGTCATTTGCCCTAATACATACATAATATACTGAATGTAGAATTTCCCAGCACCTAGGAGTTATCCCCGCATGAGAAAACACCCGATACTGATACATCATTATATGAAGCCTGTATACTCAAGACAGATGAGTAAGTTCCCCCGACGATGATGAAAGCTCCCACAACTACCATCAACACTCCTCCAACAAGGGCCAAGGCTTGCTTCCACCCGTTCCGATATGCTTTGAAAGCACTAGGTAACCAGATCATTGCTGAGATGGTCTTTGCCGTTTCGACCCTGTGAACTCTATCGCTTGCTATACTAGGCTTTTCTCCCAAGTAGAAGAGGATCATAAGACCAGGAAGGATATTAGTAAAAACAGGATTTATGAGTGCGCCGACCAAACTCAGAAAATCGTCGAAGAAAGGCACGACACCGACAACGATGAATCCAAAAACAACAGTCACAGCCATAGACCCAACCCAAACGGACCAGTGGGTGACTGTGCTAGATTGAAGATGACGTGTACCGCGGAGGATTCTGACAAACCAATATTTGGCCGCAATGTGGCTCCATAGGACGGCAGTCACCAGTAATCCGGGAAACGCAATGCCGTAAGATATCTTTTTGATCAAAACCCCAGCTGAACCCAGAGCGGGGTTCGTGAGGTATTGGCCAATCTTGCCGTACATGATGGATGAAATGGCAATGTTGGTTATCACGATAAAGGTCTGGCCGCAAACGAGAGACCGAGTGAATTTCCGGGGTTCCTTCATCTCAGCCGCAACGGAGAAAAAGGTTCCTGACGCACCCAATGCAAAGAGCTGGGTGGATATTGCCAACATAGCCTCAGTAAAGGTTGCCTGAGGCAAGACACGAATGTCGAGATTGATCGGCCCTGGCGGTGCCCCTGCAGGCCTATCTCTAGTGAGGCAGGCGATTGCGGTTATCCAAATAGCGAAAACGATGCCGGCCACGCCGATCCAACTAAGCCAGGCTACCTTCTCTAGAGAACGAAATCCGGTTCTGAAGATAAAGGCAGATGCACATGCAACGGCGACAAAGGCCATAGTGCAAGCTCCATGGTCAGAGAGTGCGTTCAGTGCCACAGATGTGGTAAGCATACCTGCTCCGGCGACAAGAGCAAGATATATATAATAGATGACACCAATGAATTCTCGTGCTGCTTTTCCAAGAAGCAACTCAGCGGCGTCCCCGATGCTGTGCATATGGGGACAATACTGCCTGGCGTTTCCACTAACGTAACCGGCCACAGTTGTGATAACAGCCAGAATAACGAAGCACAGTACCCCAGGGAAGAACCCTAAGACATGGAAAGTGGATGGAAGACTGAGGGCACCTAAGCCGATTTGAAATTTGGCGATTAGAATAGCAGCTCCTTGCCATGAGACGCCTCGGAAGTCGACTTCTCCCTCTTCACTGTTGAACAAGTCTTGAGGTGTCTGGAAGAGGGCTTTGGGGTTTTCGTCGAGGACCAAATTGTGGAAACCCCCATTGTCGACATCATCTCCGGACTCGCGAATTTGATCTTTCTTGGATTGGTTCATGTTGTAATGCGAGAATGCATAAGAGGAGGCATTTCAAACGCAATTGAAAGCGCAATTTGAACACACTGTATATTCGACCCGCAGTGGAGTGGAATGCGAGCTTATCATTTCGGGCCGAGAAAAACTGGGGTAAGATTTGGGGGATATCTCTCATTGTGTTCATATACAAACATCCTCTACAATGGACTCGATAGCGATGTAGATAGTGGTTTCTCGGCCCGAGACATACATACCAAAGCAACCCTCGCCGGGCCCAGATTATTACCATATCTACCATATCTTCCTATATCTCTGCTTCTTCACTTGTATCTCGAGACCAACGAAGTTACTCTCTGCAGGCTGTACAATCATGTTTGGCCTCACCAGGAATCATGTGCTTCATGTGGCCAGACGACGACCATTTCGTGGATTTACTACGTCAGCCCCGATATCGCAAGTCACATACAGCAAAAGCAGCCAAGCCAAAAAGAAACCTTTTAGCTCTAGAAATATCGCATATGCTACAGGTGGCACTAGCCTAGCTATCGCCGGATTGTTGTGGTCAGGACGCGAGCACGAGGATGTCGACGACCCACGCGATAAAAGGGCACTTTCATCAGTTCCACTGTCCAAGCTCCTCTCAGGATGGATGTGAGTAGGAAATGTAATATTGTATGAGCATTGGCTAATACTACAGTTCTGCAGCGCCTTTTCATTTTGCTCCCCGCCGTCTTGGGTCGACATAAGCGAGTCTCTGTACAACATATTATCCGGAATTCCCATAATCGCCTCAATCACCAATGCCATCGTTATGGAAACATTCTTTAACCAATTTTTGGGTGGTGAAACAGTTTCAGAATGTCTTCCTAAGATTGAATCCCTCCGCAATGAAGAAATCGGTACCCTCCTCGGCTACAACATCGAAGCCGAACTCGACGGCTCAAGCAAGCAGACACAACTTATCCTCGACCAAACACAACATGTCTTGTCTTCAATTAAAGCCCAGGGAGAGTTGGCGCGAAAGTTTTGGCCTGACACCAGTGCCACTGGTGGCGACAACCGTTGCTGGGTCCGAATCAAGATCACAGGTCTGCTTCCCAACCCGAGTGCACTTTACCATGGCTCTCAGGCCATTCTTAAAGCCAGACAGGAAAAGGGTCTGGATAAGGACGTCCCGTATCCGGGATTGCCTCATGATGGCGACTGGGAAGCGGCAAGCAAAAGCGTAACAGACTCGGACCGAAAAGAGCTGTTGAACCTCCGTGCGGTATTGGAGAATATTGCCACGAAGGCAAGAGAGAACAATGTGCGCATCGTGATTGATGCCGAGCAAACTTGGTATCAACCGGTGATTGACTCTTTAACGGACGAACTCATGCAAAAATACAACTCACTGGAAGGAAACCCCACTTGTATCGCCTCTTTCCAGGCTTATCTCCGCAGATATCCCCATCTTCTCAATCAACAGATTCAACGTGCAGATGAGAAAGGTTACAAGCTGCTTTTCAAACAGGTTCGGGGCGCTTACATGGTAACAGAAGCTGCCAGATGGAAGGAAGAAGGGAGGGAGGGCCCTGGGCCGGTTTGGGAAACCAAATCTCAAACAGATGCCTCCTACAATTATGGAATTGAGAAGACACTCTCCACAGTGGCTGAGCAGATACGGAAGACTGGTCACTCCGGAATTAGTGTCGTGTTTGCCACCCACAACTCTATCAGCATTGACCGTGGGATCGAGTTGTTGGAAAAATATGGGATGGCGAGGCGACAGGGGGAGTCAAACAGGCTTGTAGTCTCAGGTGAGATTGCTGGTAGTATTGCCTTTGCGCAGCTCTACGGTCAGTTATTCTTGTTGAATCCCCCGTGGCAATGATTCTGATACGTAACAGGCATGAAAGATGACTTAACCAACAAGATTACTGGATCCGTGACCACTGAGGGAGGATTTCCACTAGTTGTCAAGGTACATTATCATTTCCCCTCGATAAAATTATATATGCTGATTTATACCAAAGTCAATGAGTTATGGTGATCTCAAAGAATGTCTGCCATTTTTAACGAGACGGGCCACCGAGAACAAGGCTGTTTTAGCGGGACGAGGAGGTGCTATTGCAGAGAGAGTGCGACTGGGTCGTGAAATTCGCAGTCGGTTGTTGCCTTTCAAAGGCTGAAGCTTGTGACACTGATAAGAGTTGGACCGTTCCATATCTCGTAGATGGTTTAGTATATTCTTGATTGTGTTTTATGCCATATGCTATGACTTTTAATCTGCCTTGGTATGAAGCTCATCTACGTTACAAGACAGACCGATGTGAGCGATATGTTAAAATCTAGCTGCCGAATCTGCTCATACGTATCAGTAGTCGTAAAAATCAATGCTGAACTCTCGGATAGTTGGCGCGTTGAATAGTCCCGGCAATGTCATCCGATTGCTGCCCCCACGAAGCCTCGTTAACCCTTGATCATTCTATATTAAGTAGGCAGTTTTACCACAAGAGCAAAGCTCGGGTAGGTCCTCCGATTATCTTTCTATATCTACCTAGGTAGCCCTCGAGGTTTCTTACCGGGCCGAGATCTCATCACTCGATACTAACCAACTCGGCCCGGAAATGACGAAATGAGTGACTTTGCGGAGGATTATCTTGAGATAGATATATATAATGACTTGCAAAGAATAATGTATGAGATTCAAAAAGAATATTTTGAGAGTCAAAGATGCAAAACAATCAGTTAACGGTTGCCATTATTGGCTGTGGTAAGTAAATGATATATATCATTCCATCAAAACATCCTAACATTGTAATTAGGTACCTTAGGGACTGCAATTGCTGCTGGTATTCTTAACCCCAAAGACAAAGCTTTCCAAATCAACCGCCTCATCTGTACCGTCGGAACGGAACCCTCTCGTATCCGCCTTGAAGATGCCCTCTCCGATCACAAATCACGACTCACGGTTTTCACTGCGAATGAAAACATCCGCGAAGTCCAGGAAGCTGATGTGGTTCTACTGGCATTTAAGCCCTTTAAGAGAGACGATGTATTCGCAGTTCCCGGTTTCAAGGAGGCTTTGCAGGATAAATTCGTCCTTAGTATCATGGCCGGCATTACCACCGCTGAATTGAGCCGCCTAACTTTTGGAGAAAGCCATGACTCAAACAATCAATCGCTTCAGTCTGTACGTGCGATGCCCAATATGGCGACAAGGATCCGAGAAGCTGTGACATTGTACACCTCCAGTCCTGCCACCACCAAGGAGAACCTCGAGCTCGCATCTTGGGTATTTAGCCAGGTCGGCGAAGCCCATCAGATTCCAGAGAAATCGTTTGATATTTGTGCAGTCTTGGTCAATTGTGCCGGCTCGCTGCTGCTTCTTGCCATCGATGGATTGCTGGATGCTGCTGTCGCCGAGGGTGTGAGGCGACCCGAGGTACAGAACTTGGTGGTGAACAGTGCAATTGGTATGATGAAATTGGTACCTGCAGGAGACCATCCGGGTGTGCTACGAGAGAAGATTGCCTCTCCTGGAGGCTGCTCTATTCGAGCTCTCTTGGAACTGGAAAAGCTAGGTGTTCGTTCAGCGTTCACAAGTGCCATCCTGGCAGCGGCGGAAAAATCCAAACAGATGTCTTCTACACGTTGATCAAATTCATTTGTTTGATAAATCAGTGGTCATTTTTTGTTGCTATGATTAACTCTCATTATTGTAAATCTACTAAGCATAAACAACTGCAATTCAAACAGCTTGACGAAAGGATGAACAAGAACCTATTAGTCACTCTATGTTATGTAGATCCTGATTCAGGGGATATTCTCAGTGTTTTCCCTATATATATATATATATATATATAACGTGAGGTTTTCCATGAGGTGGACTGATATCACAGCGTCAAAAACATTAGGTAAATCACCTATTATTTCGAGTCGAAGCATGAATCTTCGTTGACTTTTAATATCTACTAGAAGTTTTACTAGTTAACATGCCACTGCTACTATTAATTCTATTCTGTAATATCTTACAATCATGGCCATACAAGGTGTAGCACAAAAAGCCGTTCTCGCGGAACTTGAAGTATTGAATCAATTTGATTTACTCGTCTCCATCGATCTTCTAATCATTCTGGAATATGGCAAGCCGACAAAGTAGTGCTGCCCGTCACATAACTATCCTTTACACAACGAATGCTCGAAAATCTCAGCAAAACATTCACCGAATTTGCCTTGTCATTTGTACCGCTTGAACGAGCCCCTCCAAACGGATGCGCACCAATAACCGCCCCTGTACTTTTGTCATTAATGCAAAACATGCCGACCGAGTCTCGCAGTTTCTCATCTGCAATTTGAATAGCCCGTCTATCACGGGCAAAGACGGAACCTGCCAAGGCGTACTCGGACGTGCCATCAATGAGCGTGCATACGTCTTCGAAGCCACCTGCGGTGGAATCATCATATGTCTGAACTGTGAAAAGGGGACCAAAGAGCTCTTTACTCATTAAATCAGATTCCTGATTACCTTTGGTTCTGAAGATGGTAGGCTGAACAAAATACCCCTTGCTGCCATCTGTGTTGCCACCGTAAACCAATTCGTGACCTTCATCCTTGGCGCATTGAACAAATTTTTGAAATCGCTGGAACGAACTTTCCGAGCACAGAGGACCTAAAGGATGGTGAAGCTGTTTGACATCGTCTCCGTGTGTCATCTTGGCTGCTTCTAGAGCCAATGCCAGTCTCAAAGTACCCTGATCCCACATGGACTGTGGAACATAAAGACGGGACAAAGCACTGCATTTCTGGCCCTGGAACTCATATGCTGAGCGCACTGCAGCAGAAGCAATCCAGTCAACATCGTCTTTGCAGGGATTGTGGATAAGATGGAAGTTTTTGCCTCCGCTTTCCCCTACGATACGGGGGAAGCTTTTGTATATATGAGCGTTGGCGCCGATCTGAGCATGAAGCGTTCTTAGGATTGCTGAAGAGCCAGTATAATGAAGGCCGGCGAAGTGAGGGCTGGCAAGAGCTGGCTCAACAACTGTCTGTGGGTTGGCCACGGGCAAAAACTGAATCACACCCTTTGGCAGACCCGCCTCCTCCATGATTTCGTACAGGATATAGTTGGACATCACTGCCATGGGTGAAGGCTTCCAAAGGATAACATTGCCTAGCAGAGCTGGCGTGAAAGCAATGTGCGCTCCCAAGGCCGTAAAGTTGAAGGGCGAGATAGCGAGCACAAATCCTTCTAGGGCCCGATAATCCAATCTACCGGATGAGGATTCGAATTGTTTCGGCGGTTGCTGCTGGTAGAGCTGAGCGCAGAAGTGGACGTGGAAATTCAAAGTATCGATAACTTCAGCTATGCAATCCCCTTCGGCCCGTCCGCATGTCTTCCCTTATCCAAGCATAGTCGCAGCCATGAGCTTCCATCGGTATTTTGGAGACTGAACAAGGTGTGCCGCTCGCCTGTAGATGGCTGCTCGATGTTTAAATGACATATTTGCCCAGGTCTTTCTTGCTTCCAGGGCGTTCGGAATGGCTTTTCTCTTGATTGTTTCCATGTCAACTTCGTGATATTCTGCCAAAGGGGCGCCATATCGATTCCAAGGATTGACTTGTTTGCTCTTGCGGCCCGTGAAAATGCGTTCCCCATTGATAACGCTTGGGATTTTAGCAACTGAATTCTCCAGCTGCGCAAGAGCAGTTCTCAGAAGCTTTCTTTCTTCCGATCCGGGCTCGTATGAAAGCTACGAAACAGTTAAATTTGGAATCTCAAATGTGTGGCTTTTGCAGAAGAAACATACCCCATCGGCGTTGGCTGGGTCTGGATACTGAAAAATTGGCATTGTGGCATGTATGATGATTTTTGAATCTTCAATATGAAGTTCTGAGTCTAACGACCGAGAGGTTTCTTTCTTATTGTAGACAAGAGGGGCAATATCTCGGGCCGGGCCATAAACATCCCACATACTAATCGGGCATCATATCCGGACGCAAGTAGTCCTGTTATTAGCTCCGTTTAAACTTATTAACGGTATCTGAGCGGTTTCGACATTGTACTTTTCTACATTGCTTCTGAAGTTCGGATACCCTATCCGACTGCCTAATATTTGTTACGCAGAATGAAATCTAGTCGGACCGAGCCAACTTTTGGGCAGTAAGTGGATTTGTGGATTCTACAAGATCTAATCAGAAGATATATCATGTAGTTGGCAGTTCGTTTGAGGAAACTCATCGAAACCCTTATCCGATATCTTAGCAATCCGGTTTTCATGGCACTTAAGGCTACTCAACCTTAGAAGCTCTGAAGTCGATCCTATTTCTTGACTTCACATATCCTAAAGATATCAATTTGTTCATATTTGCCCCAATATGGCTACTCGGCATCCTCTTCGTCTCACATTTCACGGCTGTGGTAAATAACCCTAGCGGATTCGTTTCATTACTTCATGACCTTTTTTGTTTCTTTTTCTTTTTCGGAAATTCAAGCGTTAACAAGACTTCCAGGTCACATTGGCAGTGCTCTTCTTAGAGCCGTGCTTCCATCGATTGCTAAGCCTCAAAGTCCAATTTCTAAAATTACGGTTGCGTTGAACGACAAAGAAGCACAAATACGACTTCAAAAATCTTTCAATGGCAAATTGGATCCCGCAAACTTTCTTTGCGGGAAGAACGCTGAAGCAGTGGCTAACGCCGATGCTGTTCTTTTTGCTTTCCCTCCAGAAAAAGTCCATGAAGTCCTCGCAGAAGCTGAAATGCGAAAAGCGCTGAGAAATAAAATAAAGATCAGTATCCTTGCGCGGACTCCACGAGCTGAGATAGCTCAGATCATAAATGGGCAGAGTACCCCTGCCTCTACGACTGATGACCTCCGCATCGTTCGCGCAATGCCGACTATGGGAACGGAGGTACATATGGGAACGGAGGTACATGAATCAGCAACCCTCATTGGCAAATCTAGCAACCCTCTGGAAAGAGAAGCGGTTGAGTTAGGAGCGTGGATCTTCAATTCTGTCGGCAGGGTCTTTCATGTTACCCATGATTACTTTGATGCTGCAACTGGTATGAGTGCGTTTACCAACGCATTGACAACTGCAATGGCTCAGGTTATATCACAACGGGCTGTCGAGGCAGGTATTCCAAAAGACCACGCCATTGCCATTGTATCCCAATGTGTTCGAGGAATGGCAAGTCTGATGCTGTCGGGAACAAGCCCTGAACAACTGCAGTGGTCTTTGTCTGCGCCAGGGAGTATCACAGGTCAAGCAATATCGAGATTAAACGAGAGCCAACTCTCAACAATCCTTGAATCGTCGCTTTCCGCCGCAATTAGTAGGGCAAAGGAGTATCGAACATAGTTTGAAATCTACTTCCCTTTCTCAATATGAATTTCGAATCATAGAATATCGTACCATATTATTTCGACGTTATATCCGAAATTGTACAGGACATCTTGCATATCTGATATTGGAAGCATCATCCTAAAAGCCAATGTCACCCCATTATTAGACATTCAACAATTAGAAATTTAACAATTGAGACTGATCCGACGATGAGCGGCACACTCATATATCTGTTATCTTTAGACTGACGCCTGCCTTTCTCGGACTTGGCGCATGATTTCAGAGATTTAGTGTTGTTTATGTGAATGAAGTTCAATTTATGGGGTTACCAGTTTGGATTCTATGACTAGGTTGAAATCTCCCATATAGACTAGCTATGATGTAGTATATGTAGTATACTTGTACCGTAAATCTGTCGCTTAAGTTGCAGAACTGATACTCATTCGATGCTGGAGATAAAAGAACGAGTCTGCTAAAATAAATCCGAAACGCACGCGATAGTGACTTATAGGCGAGCCCTGGGCTCCTCATTGCTTCCATGCCACGTTTTACAAAGCCCAATCTCCTGACTTCCAAAAACAGGATCATACTTCGGCTTCGGAACAGCCCATACCCTTTCAAAATTCCCTCCAGTCGCGATAAAGTCCCAGTCGCCTCCATTGTACGCTCCCATCATTGTAAACCCGTGCAGCTTAATCTCGGATAGTGCTTTCTTTGGGTCATCGGCCTCGATGCCATGTCCGTTCCCAGGGGACAAAAGTGCAAAGTCGGCCTTGGGCCTCGTATTATGTGTCTTGTGTGCCACACCAGCTGGTATTATAAACACGTCCCCAGCTTCAGCTTCCAGCAAGACACCTCCTTCTTCCCAAGCGGAGTTATATGTGTTCTCGTTCATATCTGGGGAAGTGTCGGCGACGCCAAATCGGATGCTCGCTGTGCCGGAAAGAACGGCCATACATTCGTGCGCTTTTGAGTGATAGTGAGACAGTTGTGTATCGCTGTAGCGAAATATCCAGTTCACTTTCCATTCATTCTTAGTGAACATGTCCCAGACGTCACCTGGGTCGCAGTGGGAGTCGACATTCTTGGCCAAAACGTTTTTATAGTGAAGTAAAGGCCTAGGGGAGTTTGGAATGAGGTTTGTGGGCAAAAGGTGATATTGTCTGACTTCGACCATATTGATGACTTGATTTTGAAGTCGGTTGTGGTTTCTTGACTTGATAAATCCAGATTTTTTGGAAGACAAATCCATAAGGTCGCAGGTATCGGACTAACATCGATTAAGTACATATAGCTTTGCTTGAGAGCCGAGGGCCAGTATGATAAGAGACCGCACCGGAAGGGGTATCCGACCTGGGGTGATGCTATTCGATTTATTCCCTTAGCACTGCTAATCCACCAAGGGCATTCCCGTGACCCTGTATCTCTCTCCATATATGGCCTAAAAGCTTCCAAATTTAATCAGTCCAGGTGATAATCGGATCCCTTCCGATATAATTTTAGAATTCGCAAACATAATTCTATCTCGGATAGAATAAAAGATATCTAAAAAGATAAGAGGGGTTTCTGCATTTACGGAAAAATCGGACTTGACTGTCTGTATCTCTAACCATTCACACGTATTCGGATACCCCATCCGGAGAGAGAACCTGATATATTCCTATACTTGTATTATGATATAAAAATCCCATGGGAGGTTAGGCATGTAATTTATAGGAAAATCACTTCTAATATTCAATCATGACTTCTTTGACAGACATTCCCGTTTCTTTGGACCCTATTGTCGACGGAAAAGGCGACTTAACAGTCACTATCGAAGACATCTTTTCATCAAGTGATGAAAGTGTGACATCGGGAAAGGAAAAACAAGTCGTTAACCCAAATGGCGGCATATCTGAGACAAGACACAATATTTTCACTCCACTCATCTCCGAGCGAGCTGTGGATCAGCCACGTCCTCTCAAGGTTATCTACATAGGTGCCGGCATCTCAGGAATCCTCGCTGCTATCAAGTTCCGCGAAGCTGTGCCGGACTTGAACTTGACAATTTATGAGAAGAATCCTGAGCTGGGCGGGACATGGTATGAAAATCAGTATCCGGGCTGTGCATGTGGTGAGTGGACAGGGTCGCTAGCAGCCGGGCTAGAAATTCTAACATGATCCAGACGTTCCATCGCACGTGTACCAGTTGAGTTTCGAGTCCTGGACAGGCTGGAGCCAATTCTTCTCCGGCGCAGACGAAATTCGAGAATACTGGAACCGAGTGGCTCAGAAGTACAATGTTCGAGACCACATCAAGTTCCAGAGCCGCTGTGTTGGAGCACGGTGGAATGATGCGACAGGAAAATGGTTTGTGCAGATCCTGGACGAGAAAACTGGATCAGTATTTGAAGATTCCGCCGACGTTTTCATGACAGGAACGGGACTGTTGAATGAATGGAAGTGGCCGTCCATTCCTGGCCTGCAGAGTTTCAAAGGAGAATTACTTCACAGTGCCTGTTGGAATAGCACTTACGATATGAAGGTAAGATCATTTCCTAGAACATCCCGAGAGTTTAGTGCCTGATTGATTATATATAGGATAAAAGCATTGCTGTTATTGGAGCAGGTAGCAGTGGTATCCAGATTGTGCCCGCTCTCCTGGACAAAGTCAAAAGCATGGATCATTACGTCCGCAGCAAGACCTGGATCTCCAACCAACATGGCGGAGAGGTTTTATCGACACGCACAAATGGCAAGGGAGGAAACTTTGCTTATAGCAGCGAAGAAAAGCAAGCCTGGCAAAGCGATCCTACCTCCTACGTTGAATACCGCAAAGGGTTAGAATTGCAGCTGCAGACGCTATACTCCAAAACGCAAACGACTAGCGCTCTCCAGGCCTCTTCCCGGGCCCAATACCAAGCGGACATGGAGCGCAGATTGAAGGACAAGCCGGAACTTCTGGGAGATTTGCTTCCCGATTTCCCTCCTCTTTGCAAGCGTCTCACCCCAGGACCAGGCTACCTGGAGGCTCTGACTTCACCCAAAGTGAACGTAATCACAATAGGTATTGATTCAATTGAGGATACGGGGGTTATAACTTCATGTGGAACGCATCGAGCGGTAGACGCCATTGTCTGTGCTACGGGCTTTGAGACGAACCCTGGAGGTGGATTCCCTATAATCGGTCGACACGGAGTCAATCTACGCGAGAAGTACAGAGAGCGACCGGAAACATATCTTGGAATTACGACCAATGGATTCCCGAATTTCTTTCAGTCTCTGGGCCCGAATTCATTTCAAGGTGCAGGAAATCTACTCATCACAATGGAGCAAGTTCACACCTATGTTGCAGAGATCGTCTCGAGGATGGCCTACGATAATATAGGTCTTGTCGAGCCGAAAGAATCGCAAGTCCAGAATTTTACAAGGTTCTGTGACAAGTACTTTGAGCGCACTGTTTACAGTGCTGAATGCGCAAGTTGGTACAAGTCCTCGCCACCGGGGTCATCCCTCGAAGAGCGAAAGAGAGGCCGAGTGACTGCGTTATGGCCTGGGAGCAGCTTACATGCTCTAAAGACGTTGAAGAAAGTCAGGTGGGAGGATTACAACATACAATCATATGATGGCAATGATTTTGGTTGGTTTGGAAATGGGTGGGTATTGGATGAGCTGAAGCCCCAGATCGACAGCGCAGCACTCATCGACTACCTAGACCGTACAGAATTCGTGGATGAAGTAGATACAAAGAGTATTCACGATGCCTAATGTTCTTTGCCTTAGTGAGAGGACATTATCCTGGGTATGCCTTACATGTCACTGTTTGTCCCAAAGAAAATCCAAGAATAGCTTGTCCATATGATTTTATGAACCATCAGCAGCTTCCTTTCTCATATGCAGTACAGAAATTGTGTTTTCTGATAGGTGGTAATTATCTTAAAAGCATCGCTTGCATTGGCATGTGGTAGTAAATCCATATTCAACTCCCAGAAATCACCCCCCTCCGGCAGCCCCAAGTAAAAAGCTTCTACTGGGAAGATCAATCCAATCCAGTAAATTCCCACCGTCCAATAAATTGGCAGTTTCAAGCAAATGAGAAGGTAAAATGTTGTTAGCCCACTGGTACGCATCGGGGGCTTCTTCCTCACAAGTATTCCTTGAGCCTTCAACTTGGGTACCTTGTCTTAGATAGGCATCCCATTCATCACTCGATAGCCTTGGTGTCAAATGAGCGTCTGGCAAATTGCTTGATTGGAACTGCCAGAGTTCCGAGGCATTCATCGGAGATGAGGAAGGAGACATCTTCAGGTTTACACAAAGAGTTTCCAACTGATGAATTTTCCTCCTTTTGTCAAGGGCTATCAGATTCCCACGGTCGACCATCCGATCTAAAACAGACAGCAACATGTCAAGATATGATGTTCGGTTCGCAATCAATGGAAGGCTAACTAGCGAGGTCATAGTGATCACAAGGCCGGCGGAGACAGCGCTTTCCAAATCGAACGGCAAAAAGCACTCTAGAACAGATTAGAATAATGGTTTAAGAATACTCGTCATATCTGATATAAATTCGTACCTAACAAGTTTTGCTCTTGCAAAGATCCCAAAATCTGGGATGTTTTCTTTGCTGAATCGAGACAGATTTGTAGAAGTAATTGGATAGGTGCAGGAACTTGGACCTGAAGGTCTGTTGATTTAGCTCGACTCTCGACTAGCATAAACAAAAACGGTCGAGTAGCAAGCATAATGCACTGATTTTGGTGTTAGTAGCCCCCCGGCTCCAGCACTGAATGGGAAACTGACCTGATGGTATAGCAAATTCAAATACCCGGATACACGAGAAATGCCACTCAGGGCTCCTTGGTCAGGTAACGGGAAGTTTTCCCGGAGTTCAGAAGCTACACCTGCCACTCTTTGTAGAACATCCTGTGTGCTTTTCACAAATGTAGATCCCAGATCCCTGTTATCTCTATAGAGGGCTATCGCGGGATTAGGGCTTGTTTCAGATGGAGTCACTGGTGGGCATACCATTCATAATGCGGCTAAAAGCCTTGCACAACTTGACATGGATGGCGACGGTTGCTGTTTTCAGCGAAGAATCCGGGAAAAAAGGTAATGAGACATTGATGTCATTGTCGCTAATGCTAAGAGGCGTACCCATAAGCATGGAAATTTGGCGCTCTAGGACATACACAGTCCACCAAATATTCTGCCATCGCATCAGATCTTGCTTATTGGTGAATCGGGTGGAAAGTTCCAGGTGGTAACCATGAACCTGCAGTATTCGCAGTGCTTGACCAATCTGCGTATTCCGGAAAAGTTAATGGTAAGTATTTGCTTATAGCACCCATGTAAGGCTAGAGCCTAATAGTACTTACCATGTTATGTGCGGAGGTTCTCCAGTCAATAGACTGCAAGTACAAAGCGAATGCACATAGAATCTCTGCAGAGGTAGAAGGATCCTTCCACAAAAAGCTATAGTCCGGGAGCATCATAAAAGCAGCCCTGAAATACTCAGAGCCAGGGGGCATATTCCCGCGGCTTTGTGCTCCAACAAACGCCTTGCCAAGAGCAATAATGACTAGGAAGTGTGGAAGCCATAATCCTGCCGTATGAATATTTTCCGCTGGGTTCTCGTAGAAGTGGTGAAGCTTTTCTATAAATTTGGTCTCATCGAACAAATGAAATATTTGCCCGGTATGGAATTTAGTTGCGGTAATGAGAAATAGCGCATAATCAATTGTAGGAAGGCCACGGATATCGGGAATGGCTTGACTGCGCATGCCATCCCATTCCAAGTCGTAGATCATAGAATCAATGTGGTGATCAGCACTTGGGAAAGGACATTTGTAAAATGCCTCGTGCGTCAGATTTAGGAGCCGGGTAGTCAAAGACCAAGTTGAAGTATGCCCAAGGTAATCTAGAAGAGATGGTTAGGACATTGTTGGTACTAACGAGAACGAATGAGCTCACAGCGCTTTCCTGCTGGACCTGTTATATATTCAGGGGGCCTGGAAGACAAAGGGTTTACCATGCTAACATCCTCATGTTCATCATGGATCTGCATAGATTCAGAGTCTGCAATAGCGGCAGAGCTTCCCGGCGAATTTACTCTAGAGGAGTACTGCGGTGTTGCGGCTGCCTCGGTCCTTCCTGACAGTCGTTGCTGCAAAGCAAGATTTTCTCTCTCCAGTTCACGATTTCTGCGGTGTAACTCTGATAGTCGCTTTCTGGTGATTTGGACTTTTGTGACTTCTTTCTCGAATTGACACTTTGCGTTACGCTGTGTACAATTTCAGCCAGGATTTTCATATGCAAAGTCTCTCTAATCTGCTGGATGGCCACCTCTTCTGGGAAATGCCCTCTATAACTGGTGATGTGGATTTTAGCTCGTAGACTTCACTACCTACAGTGGCACCTCATCACCCCAAAGAATGGACAGTTGCACATGCTGTCATGGGCGGACTGATACTACGATAAGACCGTTCTCGATAATAAAACCAATAATGGTATAGATGCACCATCCTCGGCTTTCGTCTCTTGTCTCTAACTTGTTATGCTCACCCCAAACTAGAGTATACACAATCTTAGATATAGACCCTTTTTGGGCTAAGCGAATGTAATTGGACTAGCAATAGTGACTATGGCAGTTTTTCTACTAGGGGTGTCCTCTTGATCAGATACGAATACTAGAAAAATTTCCAAGAATATTTTTGAAATTTTATTAACCATAGTCCTGTGTAAAGCAATAAAGAACAAGCACTAAATCCTGGAAAACTGCTGAAATACCCATCCTTTCCCAACGCCTGGCATGCCACAAGATGCAATGACTATTCACAATACAAAACCATGCCTCGCTAAAAAAAAATATTAAGAATGCAGAACAAAATATGACCATCCTCAGAAACGATCTACTCCATCAACTCAACCGGCGGCCGAGAAGTCTTAGGCGGCAATTGGTTAACCGACATCTCAATCGGACTCATCTCAGCATCCATATCCACATCCATATCCGTCGTCATATCCTCAACCATAACCGCCGGAAGGTTAGGACTGTCACCATGGTCTTCGGGGTTGTAGATAATGGTGCTGCTCCTGCTACGCTGCCGAGAGCCACTTGCGGGCCAGCTAGACGTGCGCTTGTCAGAAGAGATAGACACCGGCGTGGCAGGATCGACCGTCTCAGATTGGGTTTGATCGGTATTGAGCTGGGACAGCGCCTGAGCCAGGTCTGTAGCATGGACTTCCTTGTTGGGCGGGTCCTCGTTGCGCACGACCCATCCGTGTGGCGGACTGGGCGGCGGTGAGATGAAGAACATCTTGGAGACTTGTGGGGCTTCGAGAAGTTTTGGTCGACCACCGTCGAGGATTGCAGTTGGCTCGCCGAAGTAGATCCGTGGGTAGACGTCACGGTCTAGGAGGCGCTTCCCGTCTAGGAGTTTGCGGACTTCGGTGGCATCGGACTCGTTGTGGAAGGAGCAGACGATGCGCCGCATTGAAGGGAGCGGGGAGAAGGAGTTTAGTGGTGCCACTGCGGTGATTTGGTTGCGGATTTCTTCCAGGGCTGGGGGCTGGAAGACGAGGAGATCGTGGAGGTTTGTGATTAGGAGGGTGTTGGAAGGCGGGGTTGGCTGGGAGAGTGCGGGCATGTTGGCAATATCAAGTGATAGGGATGGCCTCGCGGAGTGGGTTGATCTGGTGACTTTGGCTAAAGCCTGCGAACGTGGTGGTGAAGTTGAAGTAGTCATTTTGTGTATGATTGTATGTAGAGGATGAGGTTGGATAAGGAGAAGATAAAGGAGGTTGCCACCGGATAAGAAATTTAGAGAAGTGTTCTAGAACAATAGATTGTTAGATGGCAAAAATGAGAATGGGTTTGAAAATGATGAAGAAATCTCTGGATTTGCCTCTCTTTAATACAACAGAGAGTAACAGGTCTCAATTTAAGGTCATGGGGCGCAGCGATGTATCCCTGCACTGCCTCTACATTCCACGCCTCCACGTTCCTGTCGATCCACCTGTTCCCGGCTTAAGCCTAACTCTTTCAGATCAAAAGGGCTGTGTGATCTACTATATTTAATCATCTTTTGTAATTAATTTACGGGCATTTAGTAGAATAAACTATAACGTTCTCAGCTACAGTACTGTGCATGCGCCACATACGCCACATCGATATTGCATTTGCTCCCCTTTGACTTGCACCAGCCACATACCCCGTGACCTCCCAACAGAAACTCCGCCCCCTTTTCTGCCGGAACATCCGATCCAACTCACAGGGGGACGATGTATACAGGCGTTGGACGGAGAACTGTAGGCTACTCATCCTTGCCTAAGCCCCTGTTTGCTTGTTATTATTCTGCCTACTCCGTACTACCTTTAAGGCCTCCCCTATCATACATTGCCCGCAGCTTCTTCCCCAAGCCTCGGATAACGAACCCGCCTTACGGTCCGCAGTAAGCTTAGGGACTAGACGCGTTTGCTTTTGCCACCAGGCTACTCAATTGATTATGTATGGAGTCCTATTCCCAGGACAAGGTGAAAACAAAGCAGGCTATGGTACTAGCACAGATGTGGCACATCCGGCCCACAAGGCTCGGTCGGAAATCGAGATGACTTGTCCCATCAGTTGTACAGAACACCAGACCTCAGCCTTGCTTTTACTTTGGGCTAAATGTCGCAAAATTCACTCGTATATGGAGTACGTAGATTCTAACTGACGGATTTCTTTGAGATGTCTGGCAATTAAAAAGTGCCAAGAAAAAGTGACTACATACAACATAGCATACACACAACCTCTCCCTGAGCTTAAATATGCTAAATAAAACATGAGGCAGACAATCAATGGATCTATTCTATAACTTACTTCCCTGGAGTTGGATCTCTCCGCCTATATTTCCAGCCGGCTCAACAAGGCTTACCTGCCGCTGCGCCCCTTCCAGTTCAACAACAGCGTTGAACGCAGCTTCAACATCGTGTTCCGAGAGCCACACCGTATCCGGCCTATCAGTCATCCGAGCAATAAGTGCAGCATCCTCTTCTTTGTCTGTCGCAAAAATAATACCTTTCTTGTCGATCTGGCTGTGCACGATACGTAACAACCGATCTGTATGCGGCTGCCTGGCTTGACTGTATAGCCTCAATGCCTCCTTGATATTTCTAGCCGAGAACGTGGCATTTCTCAAATGGAACACTTGTTTGAAAGCAAGGCCAAGGGCGAGGGAATCATCTAGCGCCAGCGAGCCTCCTGCTGCGAACGCACCGCCGTGGGCATGGGCTGCGTCTCCGACTAGAGTCACTCGCGACCCAAAGACCCAGTTTGGGAGAGCATCGCCCGCGAAATTGGGATACAGATTTGTGGATGGTGTGAGCTTCGTTAGAGCTTTGACTGTGGGATTCCAGTCCTAAGAGCTGTGAGTCAAGTGGGTTCAGGCAGGTCAATTGAGAACGTACCTCGTATCTCTGTCTTAAGAACTCCACATTGCCAACTTGATCCCACGCAATACTTTTCTCCACCTCCTCTGCTGAGCGTGGGTCATCGTATGCACCGACGGTCGTATACTGGTCCTTGCCTGAGTCCTGTCAGATCTATACAGCCGTGCAATGCTAACCCATTTCACTTACCAAGCCGAGACGCAAAGAAGTTGTCTTTAGGACCCCGCTTTCGATGTTGTCAGCAATAATTATGACGCTCAACGCAGTTTAACATACCCAGTGCATCGAATCAGCAGGCAAATCAGGGATCTTGCCCTCTACCAACGAGGCGTCAAATGTCGCCCTCATGAATACCTTCCCACTGAACCGTAGCTTATAATCCGGGATGAACGATTGTCTAACACTCTGAACGCCAGTTAGCAAACCACAATGCTGGCCAAGCTTTTACCACAAACCGATCGAATCCCATCTACCCCAATGAGAATATCTCCGTGAGCACTACTCCTATCCTCGAAATACAACGAAACACCGTCTTGTTCGACTTCTGCGCGCGCAATCTTCTTGTCTAAGTGGATTGACTCTCTGGGAACATGTTGGAGCAGAGCAGAGTGGAGATGGCCCCGGTGGAAGCGCGTAGTATGATGACGTGGATCAGGGACATTGGCATGGGTGTCAATGGACATAACTTGGTCGGTTTTCCAGTGGCTATTTGTCAATCAGAATGCTGAGCAGCTCGAGTATATATGAGGGATTCATGCCGGAATATCTGCGGGATTCCACTTGGGCCTCTAAACCCGATTTCATCTGTTAGGGCATTGTGTACGCCCAGTTTCTCCAATGTGCGCATGCCCTGATATTTCACCTTACGGTTAGATAGTCTAAATTTCCGGATAGTGCGCAAAATACCTACATTTGGACTGAGCGCAATACTAGCGCCTATCTCCAACAGTTCTGGTGCCTGTTCATATAGTTGAATATCCAAGTTTGGAAGAGTTGATATGCGTGTTAGTGATATAGCCGTTGCAAGACCTGCGATGCCTGCGCCGGCGATCAAGACTCGAATAGGCTCGTCTTCCCCTGTCATAATAAAATTGGATATCTGTCGAATTTGCGCTGGTCAGTTGCGAAAAGAATTTACTTCTGGCAAAAATAAATTTCTTACAGTCTATATCCATCGCGGCCATGAGCTTTTGAACACTCCAGCAATGCAGCACTGGCGCAACCCCGCAATGGCGATTTTAGGCGTGATTTGAGGCCTGACTTGCGTTTGTATAAGTGAAGATGGGTCTTCTTCCTATATGCCTCGTCTCAGGAAATGGTAAACGGAATAACAAATCAATATTCACTGGTCATCAACTCATTTGGTTTCACTATTCTTCATGCGGCACTATTAGGACGAGTCGAGTTATTCTTTTCTCTTGCAGCAGCTGTGACAACACTGTATTACATTAAGATAGGCCAGCCCTGTACATTTAATGCAAATGTAGACTGAAACATCCAGAACTCCCGAACATGGGTATCACTTATTGCATGTATTCTGGTGCTCTTTCGAACATCCTTCTATTGGGCCATCAATTTTCTTCTCTCGGAGTGTGATTCACTACTAATTTACCATACAGCCTTGTATTAGTCAATTTATGGGGTCTCATTGCCGGAATCTGGATTCGTTTTACAACCGGCATCCGGGATGGCGTTGTGATGATCTGGGCTATATACTCCCGAGGTCAGCACCGGGTATATGTCATTATCTTCGAATGAAGTATTCGGCCATACGTTTTATATTGATTTCAAAGCCCAGAAAACAACAAGCTTTTCTATTTAATATAAGTTAGACGATCACATTCCTCCGGGGCTATGGCGTCAACAAAGCTGCAAGGATCCGATACACAAAAGTCAGCCTGAATGACGTGCCCAGATGATTTCCAAGCACATAAAAGCACCTTATCTCCTCGATTCTCCTGGGGTTGAATTCATTTAAATGTTGGAAATGATTTTCACTGTGGAACCACTATAAATAAACAATCTACTAGTTCACTATGGACATCCAGGAAAGACAACCTCTCTTAAACCCATCAATCACCCCGAACAGTATATCTCACAGCTCCCAACAAGAACCACTTAGTCGCTCATCCGATGAGTTCCGTGCACCATACACCGACATCCTACCAGGGACCCCCTACAGAAAGAGCATCAATTGGTCAAGCGCATACATTTTAGTCGTTTCACGCGTGATTGGGAGCGGTATCTTCGCAACACCAGGCTCAATCGTCAAATCTGCCGGAAGCATCGGATTGACTCTGTTAGTATGGTTGGTTGGGACAATATTATCAGCTTGCGGCCTAGCCGTCTCGATGGAATTCGGATGCATGCTACCTCGCTCAGGAGGAGACAAGGTAAAGCGCATTGCTACAGGATTGCAGAAGCATCGGCTAAATTCATTTCCTTTTTGCGCAGGTATACCTCGAGTATGCCTATCCCCGGCCGAGGTTTCTCGCATCAAGCCTTATAACAGCTCAGGTAGTACTCCTAGGATTCACGGCAAGCAACTGCATTATATTTTCGAAATACACGTTCTTCGCTCTTAGTGTTGAGCCCACCGAGCTTCAGCATAAGCTTCTCGCTGTTGGCCTCTTGACTGCCATTACTATTGTCCATGCCTGTTTCTTGAAAACTGGAATCTTTGTTCAGAATGTTCTTGGCTGGGTGAAGATCTTCCTCATTGGCGCGATTTCCTTGACGGGGATCTGGGTTGTTTTTCTTCAATTCCATGGAGATACTGATAATATATTTCCAGAGTCAACAGCTGGCAGTTCGTTCTGGGATTCGATGTGGGAAGGATCAAACTGGAGCTGGAGTCCGCTTTCGTCGGCTTTGTTCAAAGTCTACTATTCCTACGCTGGATTAAGCAATGTGAACAACGTCCTCAATGAGGTTCATGATCCCGTGGGAATAGTGAAGACTGTGTGTCCCACTGCACTAGTCACAGCCGGTGCTCTATATTTTCTTGCGAATCTTTCATACTTCCTGGTCATTCCGCTCGAAGAGATCAAAAATAATGGGGAATTAGTGGGCGCACTGCTATTCGAAAGACTATTTGGAGATCACGTCGGAAAGATATTCTTTCCACTTGCTATTGCTATTTCAGCTGCCGGGAATGTGATGGTGGTGACCTTTGCCTTGGTAGGATTTGGAATATATGGAATTGAAAGCTAATAAATACTAACATTGTTAGGCACGTGTGAACCAAGAGATAGCACGACAAGGCTTCCTTCCATGGCAAAGTGTTCTCTCATCTTCGCGGCCATTTGGCACCCCACTGGGTGGACTTATTGTACACTATATCCCTTCTGCGTTGGTTCTCGCCCTGCCACCACAAGGGGACGTCTATAACTTCATTCTGGACTTGGAGGGATACCCGGGACAGATGTTTTCCTTGGCGATAACACTTGGACTACTGATAGTACGATACCGGGAGCCTCATCTTCCACGGCCTTTTAGAGCGTGGTTGCCGGCTGTCTGGTTACGGGTTGTGGTGTGTTTAGTTCTACTAGTAACACCCTTCATCCCGCCACCAAATTGGAAAGGGGACGTCGATTTCTTCTATGCCACCTATGCACTTGTCGGGATTGGAATGTAAGTGGTAATGTTACCAAGGAGTTACATTCGCTAACAGATTTAGTGTACTCTTTGGGGTTCTCTATTGGTATGTATGGACAGTGTTAATCCCACGATGGGGAGGCTATCAACTCGAGGAAGACAAAGAGATTATGGCCGATGGGACTAGCATTATCAAGCTCGTTCATACATATCATAATTTACAGCGTTGATAATAGATCTCATGATCACTTCATGGGATAGGGCATTGATTCCATACCCACGTCTGGGGAGACAGTGGTTTATAGAATACCGAGTCTGTCTACAAAGAAGAATCTCTAGCGCTTAACAGCAGTAGATAGATAATATCTGCCCCTGTCCACTTGTGATGCGGTAGAAAATGGGTGAGGTCTGAAGCTCCAGCCATAGTGAGCAATCACCCACAATTGTGACAGGGGGTCGCAAACGTCGAAACACACCTTTATGCAATACCCGCGGTATATTATCCGGCATACTAAACTGTGGGAGTAGTTATGGGCGGCTGGTATCACGGAAACACCCGCTACATGGTCAACTTTATGCACCGGATAGGTTTCCAGCAGTTTCAACATGTGGGACTCGAGGAGGAAGATGACAAACCACAAGCCTCGCGGCCATGGATCTAGGTATGGAAGACGATGGGTATTGACCAACGATATATGATGCTGTAGAACAAGAACTCAGCCAAAGTCGACAAGCATGCCAACTAAACCGTCATGATACCAGCACTATCAATTGAAACTAAGGGGAGAATTCAGAGAAAGAGAGGGAGAGTGAGAGAAAAAGTGAGAGAAAAGTGAGGCAGAGGAGAGATGGAAGTGGAAGGTGCACTTCATGACGATATGTTTTGATTTCTTATGTATGGGTCTGGAATTATGGGTTTATGGGCTACAGGAATGGGATGATTCCGTCCTTACCATCAGCAAATGCGCCGGGAGAAATTCCACTCGGCATTTGGCTTGGAGTTCTCGCTTCAGTTGGATGAAGCGCCTGCATAGTCATACGCAGGTTAATCTTTGATTGATTTCTTCCTTCCTCTCTGGTCCTCTTTCTTCCCCATCCATTTTCAATAACAGATAAAGCATACAGATCTCCCTCTGTATCGGTACTTGCTAAAACTACAACCTTCTTCAACGTATGTTTTCCCAGCTTCTCGGGATCGTCTCGAGACAAATCATTAATTCACTATGGCAACGATTGGTCAATATCCCAACAGAGCACCTCCTCCGTGTCCCGACTGGGTCTTCTCCAACACCTCCGACACCCAGTGGGTATTCACCTTGCAGGGTTAAATGCATCTATCTAACTAAGCCAGTGTTGCCAAAGATCGCTGCTGGTTCGGTACAGACTATACCCCCTTCAGCTCCTATGTCACGGATATGGCTGGAGGCTCAGCCGAAGTCATTGGCATGGGAGCTGTCAATCTCACCACGATGAACTCGCCAAACGAAACCGATCCGAGTTTGCGCGATTCTCTCCACTTAAAGAACGTGCTGCATGTCCCTGCAATGCTCTGCAACATTATTGGAAGCCCCATGATGGAAGACTACAATGTCATTTTGGGGACCTCTTCTCCAGATAACTCCGGCCAAATTATGAGCGAAGATGGTCGTACTGTGGCCTACTTCAAGCCTATGGATCCAGGTCCCAAGCTGTACCTAGTCCAGATTTCCGAGCCTCCATCCGGTTATCAGTTCGCGTTTTCGCCTTTCCATCCGAACGGGCTCTACCTTATTCACGCCTTCTGGTCCCGCGTTGAGCGACAGAGGTTCGCAGACTTGAAAGCCTATGGTCTGACCCATGTGTCAGGCGTAGACCCGCTGACAGAATCCGAGAAGATATGGTTCACGAGGAACCACATGTCTCAGGATAGAATTCTAGTCGCCTACGGGTTAGACAACAACAGGCGGGAGCATCGACAGGAAGCCCGTGCCATCATGCGAATTCTCAAGTCCCATGCCGAAGTTGATATTCTCGACTACTGATCCCAGAAGAACCCGCGAGACTGTTGAGAGGAAGCAATCTCCTTTGTAGCTGGATGGTGATTTCCCAGATGTGGTTGAGGAAATCGTCAAAATTATCGGCCTTTCATGGCTTTATGTTTTCCAAAAACCCCAATCAAGCTACATGACGACAACAACCATACTTCCTCCATAGTCTGACAAATATGTAGAACGGACTGAATATCAAATCTGCTTCAAGCCCCTGGTATTGACTGTAGACTACATGGGCTCTAGCAGTGTCCATCTAGTTACATTTGTTGCGTGTCTTCGAAAAGGGGACACTTTTGTCTAAATACGGAGCACAATCTTCCCAACTTGTTTACCCTGCCAAACATATTCAACAGCCTCCTCGGCTTGGTCAAATGGAAATATCTTGTCAATGAGATCACTCAGCGGCGTTTGAGCTGCTGATAGCGCAGCGCAGAAATCCTCCATATCATGCTTTGACCCTGCATTGATACCTCTATTATGTTCCAGTCAGACTTCAGTATCCAACAATCAACCTCTATAGCATAGATCTCACCTCAAAATGGTTCTCCGATCAATAATGGTCGGGATCAGTTCCCGCAGGCCATTAGGATCCTGATGTGAAAGATATCCGACCTGACTGACCACGCCTCCACGTCGAGTACATCTCAGGCTCTTAACCAAGGAGCTTGACCCGCCAGTTTCAAGAACAATATCCACGCCGACGTCATCAGTCAACCGGAGAACCTCCTTGTCCCAGTCAGATCTTCGGGAGTAGTTTATCGTCATGATCGGCGGGTTCGAATACTTGACCTTCATTTGCTCGAGCTTCTTATCACTCGAAGATGTCAAAATCACCCGAAGGCCCGCAGCCCGTGCAAGCTTGAGTGCAAAAACACTGACCCCTCCAGTGCCTGATTCAGTCGTGAGTGTTGAACAAAGTCTTTAAACCCCGGAAGCACATACCTTGAATCAACACAGTCTGCCCAATTCTCATACCCTTCAGCGCCGACCAAGCAGTAACACCAGCACAGGGAATCATAGCAGCTTCAGCCCAATCAAGATAGTCTGGAAGTTTGCACAAAACGTCCTCGTCAAAGATAATATAATCCGCCATAACTCCATCCTCATCTGCTGCAAGCCACGACCGCTTCACTTCACGCCCGGAAATATTCTCAGTGTCTGTAATAGGCCCGGCCCTATCCCCGACCGCCAATGTCTTTACCTTATCCCCAACTGCGAGGACCTCACCCGCGGCGTCGTTGCCCAAAATCCCATTTGGAATCACCGGCCACGGGTTTCCTCCATTCGCGATGTTGGCGTCGCGGTAGTTAAGAGCGATGGCATGTACTTTGAGCAATACTGCTGTCGGTGCAAGTGGCAGTGCCAGCGCTTCCTGTACAAGCTTTAACTTTGGCTTCCCAGGGGTGTAATCATCCGTTCGCCTAAAGGCGCGTCGATGAGTGACTTGGGGGTTCGACATCTTGCTTTTAGGCCGTTGTTGATGGAAAGAATCGAAGTTGAAATGGTAATGATTTATATTGAACATCCTTGCATGTACCGACGTCACTCCAATATGCGGGCGTCCACCTACCCCTCCTTCTAGATATTTGGGTTCTTTGTTCTGGGTAACGGATTTGCTATAAATTCCAATCTGATGAGAAGAACCGGTGTAACTTCCATGTCATATCATATCTGTCTTTCTTTCTCTGACAGCTGGCTAAGAGGGCTGTTCCAGTCACACCAACTAGCCTAACAAACTGAGACGATTGAGCCATTGAGCGGGGAGTAATTGTTAATCCTGGGGCCGTATTCTAAGTCTACACGTAGAACGAACAAAAACTTGCCGGTCGTCTTCCTAGGGGTCATGGACCCGCTTAGTAGGAATGATGGATGATATAGATCTGGCTTCGCTTCATTTATTGTAATTTTATAACGGGAAACTGCACACGATAGCAGGTTTAATGATTAAACTTGCAGACGATACCTATATCCTAGGTATGAATAAACGGAACAAGTTCAGTAAAATGAGCATAAATTCGTGGACAGAAGAAACCCCTTATGCGTTGAGATTACCTATGGCGCTAATCCGAAAATAGTAAATAAAGCGCCTCCATATTTTGTATGGCTCCCTCTAAGCAATATGCTCAGGTGATGAATAGATGATACAGACAGTCAACAGTCTCCTGTGTTAATGTTTTATCATGCCAAGAGCATAAGGCAACTTATGCAAATAAAGCCTTGATCAATAGAACTTAGCATGAACATATATTGGTGCCAGAGGTTCATCCTTTGTATGCTCAGGTTTGCAAATGGCCCATTGGGTGATAATTTCAAGTTACAGGTCAATAAAGTCCCAGGTGGTCTATAAGCGATTAAGCTTACAATGATCCAAGCCCTACGGTAGTTAGCGGTGATGGTTGCCCGGCGAAGCTGATAACGAATATAATATCAACGCATCGATGCTAGATAGCAGATCGAAGAGGAGCAATGCATAAAATTGTATGATATTATATGTATCATTTACTCTTCAACAAAGCGTCTAATAGAAGTGAGAAGAACCTTGAAGTCCCTCGGCCCAGCGTTTTTCCTTACTAAGGCCAAGCAAGGCCAAGGCGGTCAGGTGATTCCCGATGAATTTTATCCGAAGACAAATGGTTCCGCCTCAAGTTCACAGAGCTCCATTCTCAATTCCCACATCTCGCTATTCATAATGTTCCAACGAACCATCCTTAGACAGGCTCAGGCCGCCCGCTCCATCCTCTCCACCACCTCCCCCTCCACCGCATCGCTGGCGCTGCGACGGACTACACAACAGCCGCGTATCCCGACCATCCGGGCATTCGCTCCCCAGTCTACCCGTCTCTACTCGACAGAGACCAAGGAAGCTACCGAATCTGAGACCGCAGAGAACGCAGAGGCCGAGGACCCCTGCAAGAAAGAGCTCGAACAGAAGACCAAGGAAGCCATTGAGTTCAAGGTAAACCATTTCCCCATACTACGGGTAGCTCCGCAGCTCTTTCGCAGATGAATATTAACCTAAATTTCTTATTAGGACAAATGGCTCCGCTCCGTCGCTGAATCCCGCAACCTCACTGAGCGCAACAAGCGTGACATGGACGCCGCCCGCAAGTTCGCTATCCAGGCTTTCGCCAAGGACCTCCTCGACAGCATCGACAACTTCGACCGCGCGCTGCTGGCCGTGCCCGCGGAGAAGCTCGCCGTTGCTAAGACAGAAGATAACAAGGACCTCCACGACCTTGTTGCCGGTCTCAACATGACCCAGGACATCCTCCTGAACACCCTCCAGAAGCACGGTCTCGAGCGCTTCGATCCCTCCGAGAAGGTCGATGGCAAGCCCCAGAAGTTCGACGCCAACATGCACGAGGCTACCTTCATGGCCCCGGCTGCTGGTCTCGAGGACGGTGACGTTATGCACGTCCAGAGCAAGGGCTTCCGTCTTAATGGCCGCGTTCTGCGGGTGAGTAACACCTACTAAGAACCAAAACTCTAGAGTATTGTGACTAACTGTTCTCTCTTATAGGCTGCCAAGGTTGGAGTCGTCAAGAACGCTTAAATCGTCGGCGATAACTTCGATTCTTAATTCTTCGACGACCTCTAATTCCGCATTTTCACTCTTCTTTACTTCTCTCTGTACCATATGTCATACATCATGATCACGATAGGGTTTTATACTCGGATACGGCTGGCTTTTGGACCCGGGAAAACTTACTATTCCTTGCTATCTCTACGCTTGTCTCTTGGATTCGGCTGTGTGATACACCCTTGTTGCATGTGTCTGGAGGCGTACGGATTATCTCGTGTTGGTGGTGTCTTTTCACTTGTTTCGTGATGTCGGTGCCTCTATGTCCCCTGATAACTCTCTCCTCATTTGTATAATACACACTTTTTTTGGGGCACGACTATAGCCTCTGATGTCTTCATTCTCCTTCCGCCTTTGGTAACCCCTAAACTACACTCTAATATAATACAAAGCTGGCTATGTCTATAGCTATTGGATCTTTAGCTTAATGATGTCCATATATCCATATTTGTTTAACGAGGAATGCTATATTTTACATGTTCTCACAATAACTACAGTATAAGTACAAAGGTATAACCCAACAATCTCCGAGCTCACCTCAGCTCAACTCCAAGCTCTCCAACTAGCTTCTCCCGGACCTTCAGATGCATCTCATTAGTCTCCTCATTCGTCAAAGTCCGCTCCAAGCTACGGTAGTTAATGCGGTAGCACATGCTCTTGCGCGAAGTCTTAGGATGCGTAAACTCATCAATGAGAGTAACATCCTCAACAAGATCCCCACCAATCCCACGAACAATCTCCATAACATCATTCTCATGGAAAGGCACAGCCCCACCAGCAGCACTGCTGCCACCGGTCACAGCGGCAGGAGGCAACCAGAAAGCAACATCCTTATAGCAAGCCGGGTGCTTAGAGAAAGGCTCGAAGCGGGCAATCTGGCCAGCCTGGAACTGCGACAAGAACCGCTCATCACGCGACCAGAACAGTCGGATATCAGGAATATTGAAAAGAAGCATAGCAATACGCTCAATGCCCAGTCCAAACGCCCATCCAATCCGGTCCGGCACGTCAGAATTGATCAACAGATCCTGCTTGATAACTCCGCAACCCAGAATCTCCAGCCACTCGTCTTGCCAGAACACCTCTAGTTCCCAAGACGGGCTGGTGAACGGGAAGTAAGCCTCGACCCAGCGGACTTTGAGCGGCTCCGGCTCCACACCACCATTGCGCGCCGCCGCGGCCTTGCTTGCTTCCGTGAAGATCTTAATCACCATCCGCTCGAGCGAACGCTTGAGGTGAGCACCCACAGCCTCGACTTCCTCGGCACTGTGATGCTCGTCCTGTAGCGGGTTCCGCTGCGCGTGGATAGTCGGGTTCGGGTCCTCGACCACGACGTCGTGGCGCGGGATCTTCTCCACATCAGCCATGATCTTCGCCGCTGTTTCAGCCGACGCGGAGAGCGGGTTCGTCGCTGGTCGCTTCCATAGCATCGCGCCCTCCATCTGGTGGAAGACTGGGTAGTGGCTGCGGTCAATTGCGTCGCGACGGTAGACGTCTGCGATCACGGTGTATCCGACCTCCTCTGGGCGGGTGTGTTCATTGCGAGCGATTTGTTGGAAATACGCTTGCTGGTGTGCGCTTGTGTGTGTGCGTAGCACTGTCTTGTCGTTCACATAGTAGGTATCTGTGCGGCTGCGGCCTGGGTGGTCTGGGGGGAAGCCGAGGACGTCGAAGTTTTGCCTTGTTGAGACGACGGGGTTCTTCTCTGAGTAGTTGCCATAGGTTGGAGCTGCGAATTGGCTTTCGATGAGCTTGCGTGTAATTGCGAGAGGGTGGTTGTCATCGAGGTAGAGTCGTCGTCCGATATGAGATAGGATTGTATCGGGGGTGTTAGTCCACTGGTCGGTTGGGTAAGACTCTCCTTCAAGTTTCAGGCTTGACTTTTGCGGTGGCTTAGAGGTAGTGGTTGCTTTCTGTTCACTCCGGCGAGCTGTGGTTGAGCTCCATTCGCGGTGGGAGAGAATGGGAGTTAGTGTGAGGGAGCGCGGAATGGTGGTTTGGGGCCGGATTGATGCAATTGACCAACGGCCACTGCTTGCACGCAGGGCTCGACCGGTAGCGAATAACCTCATGGTTGAGTTGGACCTCGGGACGTCTGGTGTGAGAATTGTCTATCAACACCATCAACATGTTTCGGGTCGGCGAAATTAGTTCCCGAAGTACATTTGTCGAGTCAATCTGCACCACCGAGAAACTATAGGAAGCTTAACATTAACCTCTTTCGAGAAGAGAGAAGCTGATTTAGATTTGCTTGAATTTCTCGACAGTTGGTATAGCCGGCAGCCCAAGCCATTTCAATTGACTTATCTCAATTGAAGATTCCCTGTCAACTATGCAGTTTACGACTTTATAGGTTATACTTTAAATATAATATGTACATACCTCACTCCAAATATAAGCAAGTAGCTTGGCTGATACGGCGTTTTGGTTCAGCTCTTTTTTTTTCTATTATACACGCGTCAATGACTAGATATACATACTATCGCATTTGCGCCGAGGAAGCACCAGTGACACAATATATTGAACCAAAGTGCTAGCTCTAATTCCAGCCATTGAGATACCCATGCCTTTTATACCTCTATTATGTCACTTACAGCCATAATATACTCCAGGAAACATTTATGCATATGGTATCTTGCCCTCAAAGGCTACCACACCCCTCCTTTGTGGCCCGAAGCCAACCGATCAATATCCGTGAAAACTCCGAAGATCCCCATAGCCGATCTTGTCTCAATTCTGTTCTATTGAAGCCATCGTAATGGCTGTACGTACAAGAATACGCTCGGCATCCATTTCAATGACCGAGGAAGGACGATATACATGATCCCTGGCGGTCTCTAGGCTAGCTTGTATGTTACAACAGATGCCCGGCGCAAAGGAAACTGCAAAACCGAGGATATGATTGGTGCAAATGACAAAACTCCACCAAGGCACTTGACTTGATTGGCCAGCTCTTTATATTTCTGCGGGTGGCCGAGAGGCTTCGGCCTTCTGATTTGTCGCCGTCGGTTTTAAAAGGCCAAAAAATTACGTCAAGTCACGTTCGAAAAGCCGAAAAAAGGCCAAAAAAAAAAAACATATTTTTTTTGAACGTTCTCTCCCCGCCTTTTTCTGATTGTACATTTTTAGGGGTCTTGTCTTCCAAGATGGCAGAAGGCAAGATGTTGGAGGTTGCTCCTCACAGGGTCGTGCCTGTCCAGAAGTCAAAGCCGAAACAGGTGCATTACCCGTTTTGGTTTGGAGGTTCGGCCTCATGCTTCGCTGCGTCTGTGACGCACCCTTTAGATTTAGGTATGTTCTTCTTTTCTCGAGTATATGCTATATGCTGACTTTGCGCCCATAGTTAAGGTACTTTCGAGCTCCCAGTCGTTCGTCAGATGGCTTATGCATGGCCGCGTTTCCGATCCCCGACGCTGATATCTGTTTGTCGCATAATAGGTCCGGTTACAGACTCGCGCTCCTGATGCGCCGAAGACTATGATCGGGACATTTGTCCACGTTGTGAAAAATAATGGCTTCACAGGTTTATACGGTGGTGTACGTGCGATCCCCAATCCCAAGCGATATCGGATACCCTATGGTAGCAATAAACGAGTACAGTTAGCTAACAAAGGACGGATTGGAGGAATATAGTTGTCAGCCGCAATGCTCCGTCAAATTACATACTCCACAACGCGCTTCGGTATCTACGAAGAATTGAAGTCGCGCGTTGTTGCGCCCACCTCAGACCCGGCCGGCACACCAAGCCTCCTCACTCTCATCGGGATCGCCTCTGCCTCCGGATTCATCGGTGGCATAGCAGGCAACCCAGCTGATGTGATGAACGTCCGCATGCAACACGATGCATCCCTCCCTCCCGCCCAGCGACGCAACTACCGACACGCGTTCCACGGGCTCATCCAGATGACTCGCACAGAGGGATTCAGTTCTCTCTTCCGCGGAGTGTGGCCTAACTCAACCCGTGCAATCCTCATGACTGCCTCACAGCTGGCTTCGTATGATACCTTTAAGCGCATGTGTATTGAGAAGGCCGGTATGGCCGATAATCTGAGCACACACTTCACGGCCTCGTTCATGGCTGGCTTCGTCGCTACCACCGTCTGCAGCCCTGTGGACGTGATCAAGACTCGCATTATGACTGCTTCCCATGCGGAGGGTGCTGGCCATACCATCGTTGGTCTTTTGCGTGATATCTGCCGCAAGGAAGGCCTTGGATGGACTTTCCGTGGCTGGGTGCCTAGCTTCATTCGTCTTGGTCCCCATACTATTGCCACTTTCCTCTTCCTCGAGGAGCACAAAAAGCTTTACCGCAAGATCAAGGGCATTTAAAGATCCAAAGAGTGCTTATTCCTTTTTGTGACTCTTTTTTTTCCCGATTTTGCCCGATCTTACAACTGCATTTACGCCTTCTGTCCGATATCTTCTCGGTATATACGATTTCTTGTCATTTTCTCTGGTTTTCTATTTGGGTGGTGTACTCTGGGACTCACGCCCACCATTTTCATTTTGGCTTGTATATAACTTGCATTTTTTTCGGATGTTTCTTTCGTCAAAGATTCGAATGGCTGGAGAGACGGCCTTGGAGCATATCTAGAACATGGCCCTGTGGCCTTGTACAGTGTGCTGGATGATGTATTATTTCCTTGTCGGAGCTGGGATTACATAGAATTTAGATACATATATGCTGAATCGCATTTAGAGCATTTCCGCAAGGACGACATGGTTTCTATCTAATTCTAAGTTGTATCAAGCTGCCAGGGCTCGCAATTATTGCAAGTGCCTACTGATAAAAAATATGCAAGAACTGCCCATATTGCAAAAGAGTCAGAACAAGAGCACCAACAATACATTTCTCTACAATACGGCGAGTTTATAAACACATTTTCTTGCCTTATACGGACGGAACGACCTAGGAAATAGAGGGGTTGTGTCCCCGACTGACCCAGTAGAGTACATTGGAACTTGTCGATACATAAAAATTTGACACGCCTCACTTGACCAACCCAAAACAACTGTTCGTCATCTATTTGTCAAGCTTGACAGGGAAGTTGCCAGCCTCTGTTAACACAAGTTAGTATTCAACACATATCCAGAGGAGATCTCTAAATGCGTACCGCGCTGACCGTCCCAACGATCGGTCCAGGCCTTGGGGCAGAGAGAGCGGAAGGAGTGGTAGAACTGCAAGGAGAGACTGTTAGAGGCTGCTAGGATTTATAACACTGTCGGTGCCAAAATTTACCTGCTTGCAGGGACGGAAGTCCTCGCCCTTGGCAGTGGTACACTTGTAGTAGTCGACATAGTTCTGCCAGCAGTGCTTGGTCCTGCGGAGCAAATGGACGTTAGATAAAGAAATAAAAAGGCACTCAAATATGCTTATCACGTACTGGTTCTGCTGGGGGAAACGGGCATCGTAGCCTGCGATTCGATCAAAAATTGTCAATTACACCATACATCAGCCGATCGGGGGATATCGGTCCCACGCGCATGCGACGAGCGAAAGAAGCGGGGAAATATCTAAGGTTTACGCACCAGCTGCAATTAAATTATTAAATTAGCCATTGACTCTTTATAGGGCTCCTGGCCCCGGTTTTCGCGGGAGGGGGTAGTGGACTTACCAGTGACGAACTTGAAGGGCTTGGTCTCGAGGACCTCATCGGGGTCGGCTTCCGGAATAGCACCCATATTTGCGATGTGTAGCTTCTAGAGAAACAACACAGAGGAAGAATTGGAGTGGAGTGGAAACAGAGGAGGGGAGAAAGTGAGCCGGGAAGAGCGACGTTGGGTGATTGAAGCTGTGAAGTGCCGGGTATGACCGCGGGCGGTCAAGCGAGAGCCACTGAGCGTCTCGCTTTTACACCCGAGCCAGTCACGTTCTTGGAAAGCTGGTGTTCCAACCTCGTCTTCTATCCCACTCTTCTTCTGCTACTCCAGGGTTGAACCACAGATTTCGCTATGTATCCTACTCGCATGCTGCGGATGCAGCCCACTCGGGCCTTTGCTTTCCCTACTCCTGTACGTTCTGTCCTTCGGCAATTCTGTGATCATACGATCGGCTCGGTTACTAACTCTTGTCTGTAGAAGGAGCAACAAAGTGGTATGCACCTCTGAGATCACCGGATCCGGTCATCATAGGAGTCATGTAGAATGACTTTACTTTTATGAGGATAGCCATTGAACTAACCATGCGCCTACAGCTCACACTATCTCCCAGCGTCTGCGCCAGCTCAAGCGTGTGCCTCCCGAGTTGCTCCCTATCGGTATGTGCTATAGTCATGACTTCGCAATACGAAATTTAGCTAACATTCTGTTTGATATTTAGGCTTCGTCCTCGCGTACGTTTCTCCCTGTTTGATACTATTTGCCGCTTGATTCCGGATCACATGCCCAACACCGGAATTCTATCCCCTAATCCCTTCACTGGCAATCTATTTCGTGTCTTTCCCTGATGCTAACTCATAATTTCAGTGTTGCCATTGGCGCTGCTGTCTACTCTTGCGGCAAGAAGCTGATGACCGACAAGACCCTGCGCCTCTACCGCAACAGCCCCGAGAGCCGTGAGCACTAAATGTACCACCATGTTTCTTTAAGCTCTCAGAATGCGATCAGAAAGTTTTGGATTCATGCCGCTTGTATTGTTGATTAGGAGAATTTGAAGCCGATGGGCATGATTTGAGAAAAACCAGTGAAGAAAAACAGGAATGGGCTCGAGATTGGAGCCCGTGTACATATTCCGGCCCCCCGAGCCTGAATCCTGGTGGTATCAATGATAGTAGGCAAATTGTACTGTCGTATGTGACACAGTTGTGCTTTTTTTGTTTGTCATCTTCGTCGTAGCTATCATAAAGTGTAGCGTGCTTTACTCGGGCTTCGGCCCAGCAACATCTAATTGTTCCAATCCCTGCATAGCATCTTGGGGACGGCTGCTTGCAGCCAGAGCCTTCTCCGCAGCTTCCCGATCCTCCTCGCTGACAGCATGCTTGGCCAAATACCCCTCCTGTAGAGTATAGCGTTCAGTATAGATTGCGAATAGATATAAAATCGAACCCAACACACCTGTTCCCAGATCGCAGTC